TCTGTACAGTATGTAAATTAGGTACCGTAAGTCTAATACAGCACTAATTTTATACATTTCTTGTGAAAGAAACATTTCTTATTCAACGGCCATAAAAATTATTTATATTAATGATGTCTCCAAAGTTCAACAAAGTTTTCGCAAAAAAATAACTTATCAGAAATCGCGCCCGCCGTTTGGTGCGCTGCTCCGCGACGAAAACAAGGTTAAGCAATGGCGACGTCGAACGGTGCACACTCGATAAGTAATCCTACAATTTATTGTTTATAGCATAGTTTATACGGATTATTCCCAAAAAATTATACGTGTTTTGGAAATGTTGAGTAGAATTAGTCTAAGAATCGATTGATTTTATGGAAGAAAACCTTTCAAACAGCCGTAGTCCGTAAACTTCACACGTGTCGGGCTGCGATTGGCTCATGTATTTAAGGATTCCTACAAAGTAAAATTCGTATAAAGAGGAACGTATCTACGCGTTATAGGGGAGTCTACTGTACGTAAATGAAATTCTAGAACCGTTTTGCACGACATACCTCTGCCAGAGCGGATTTTCGGCCGTGACAAACATGGACAATTAAACATCGCCACCCACTTCTACTCGAAGATGACTCGAGACTGAAGCTGACCAAAAAAGCAACCAGATTTTACAAAGTTGTGCGAAGAAAATCGTGCACATTTGTCGCATTAAAATTAAATAACCTTATGTTATTTTCATTATTATTAGAATTGTATTTAAAAGGTAATAAATGTAATAAAAAAAAAAACATATTCTATTTATTACTAGCTGTATCCACAGCTTCGCCCGCATTATATCGAATTTTCTCTCATTAAAATATAGCCTGTGTCCTTCTCCAACATATAAGCTATCTCTGTGCCAAATTTTATTAAAACCTGTTCAGCGGTTTAGACGTGAAAAGGTAACAGGCAGACAGCTACACAGAATTACCTTCGAATTTATAATATTAGTATGTATTAATATGAATTTCTGCTATAAGGGGTACGCGGGTTTGAGCTCTTTCTTCAAGTGGTACGCAGGAAAAACTAATTGGGAACCACTGACTCAGAACAATCGAAAATATTAATTGCTATAAGTTAACTTCTCTTAATACTCTTCCACTTTTAAATATAACACAACATTCTAGAAATTGTTATTACCATTTGGCATCTATAACTGCAAGAACTATGGAATACCTGTTAGATTAAAAAGTTGTTACTAACCATGTAGTAGTCATTTACTCTAATAAATTAATGTTTTCATATAAGTTACATTTTATTTTTTGTATGTAAATAAAAAGTTTACGTTCTTAAATAATTGTGCTTGTCTGTTTTAGAGGACAATGGAAACAGTGTTACTTTCCCTGCATTAACTTTTTTTTTTTTTATTTTCTGCTTTAAGATGGAATTGGCCCACCAGTGGCAGAGCGGTTGTTCCCCGAGCATCCTGCTTGGCCGCTACTTGGCCACACAGTTTCCCTAAACACTGGGAGTTCGGTCGTAGGTTCGCGCCTCACTCGGACTGGCTGGAGTTTTTCGGGATTTAACCACGTCTGTAACGCCTGGATAGAAGCTGGTTACTCTTAAAAACACCTCCCGAAAGGCACTATTCCTCGCGTAACGACCGTCATAAACGCATACAACTACTATTACATGACAATTACGTCACACTTCACCACGGGGCGATATACACTAGGTTCAATAGAATCTCATGCCGGACAAGACAAAACGGAACTTTTTTCGAATTTCAACATCAATTCTTACGAAACATTTTTTTTTTAAATTTCAATTAACTTTATTCAATTTTTAAAATATTGATACATAAATGCAATACTTAAAGGGCGAATTTTTACGACTCAGTGCAAGTTTGTTGTATTGGTGCAGACTTTTTCTTCTTTCGATATTCCTTTTAGTTTCATAAATGCCGAAAAGAAAGAATGTAAATTACTCGCAACCTGAAAAAAAGCATATAATTATGTTATAATAAATGTTACAAATAGAACTACGTGAGATTTGAAAGTATTCACTTTTGTCCATTCCGCAAAGAAACAATTTTAAATTTATATAAATTTTGCATAAATTATGTACAAACACCAAAACTTTTATATAAATTATATAAACTTTAGATAAAAATACAGGCACATCCAACAGAACGACTTCCCGGTAAAACGACTTTTGGTTTTCAATACTAAAACTTCAATACCAAAACGCGCCCTATCATTAAGTGAGTTTCATTTATATTTCCTTCAATACATTGTTCTAACAGAACAATATGTGGGGTAAGTCTGAAATCTTATTGCAGATGCAAGATGAGAGAATCATGAAAAACAATGCAACTAATTTCAACTTTATACCCCAGTTTAACGTTTTGCATATTGAAGGGTATGATAAGCCCGTAACAACTGTTTTGTTACGGGGATGTACAAAACAACTGTTTTGTTAACAACCATATTAATTATATAGTACAGTTTATAGATTAATGATTAGTAATCACGCTTTTAAGCATTTTACATGCCTAAATAATAGTTTGTTATTTATAAAAAGACATTGCCGGTTACAATTTTGCAAACTTTTTGCATTTTTGGGTTGACGTTGTAAGGCATTATCTGTTCCCTTGAAAATTATGGTAAATAGACTATCGAGTAACGTTTTCTCACAGAATTTTGAATTAAATGGATTATTTACGTTGCCTGTGGGAATGCCTGTATGTGAAATCGACATATATCTGTAATTTAATGTACATTAAGTATAAATATATAAAACTATTCAAATCGTGCTTAAAAATACTTTGCATTGTTAGTATAATTCGTATTTCTATAAACAAATACAAACTTTGAAAGGAATTCTTTTCGTAACCGGATAAATACCACCGATCATGAAACACAACGACACTTTCCCAAATCTCTTCATGAAATTTAAGATCTGCAAATAAAAGTAAACAATGAAAAATTTACTAATTATTCAAGTTACGTGTAAACATATAAAATGGTTTATTAATAAACGAAAATACAGACTTTTAACTTTTCTTCAAAATGTAAATTGCTGACAGCAAATTGTCGGACATCTTGAAAGCCATTTTGCATCTGAAAAATAAAAAAGTATTGAAAATAATAATAAAAGATTTCTATTAACGTCATTTCGTGTTATGAGAGAAAGCAAATTCTTTACCGAGAAAGCAAAACTGCACAACAAACAAGCTCCAATAATACAAGTGAAGGTGAAGAAGACAACTATTATTAGAAATCCTAATCTAATTGCATCATTTACATCTATAAATGAGAATGCATAATAAGAAAAACTGGTTGAACATATAAGACCGAGATAAATAACTACACTAGGATAACTAAATTTAGTATTAAGTTGACTGACGAAATTCCACAGTTCTTCGTGACGAATCATCAAATTTCTCAAATTGAAACAGAAATTTCTCTCGCCTCTTCTCACAAGAGAAAAATCTTGTATCAATTGTTTGAATTCCATTTCGGTAAGAACTAATAATACTCCTACTAACAGTATAGCGTAACCCATGGCGCCAAATCTGAAAGCAGCAGAAAATCCACTTTCGACTGAACAAATCAGAGCTTCTCCGTAAAACTTTTCATTTTTTTCTAACTCTGGGTACATAAATGCTACATTGTAAATCTGAAAGCAAAACACGGCGAAAATAATTCCAAAAGAAAAGAGCAGACAAATGATATTGATGAAGATATTCGCTCGGTTTATCTACTCCACAAGATCCACGTTTCTTAATGTCTTTATTAGAGTGATTTTTCTGTTTTTGAAGAAACTGAATGTAAAAGCAAAGCAGCATTGTAAGCACGCGAGTGTTACCTTCATCAGAAGAGTGTTGTTTTTAATTAAATCGAACCATCCAATGCAAATTGCATTTTTATTCCAACCCGGAATAATCTACCACCACATTAGGAATGCATCATTCCAGTAAATCAATTCCAAAAATCGAATGTATTTCATCATATATTTTCTTTTAATTACAGGTGAAAACTGATTATTTCGGCAGTTGCACGGTTCGAAAGGATCCACACCATACATCATCGCATTTACACAGAACGGTCTTAAGAAGCAATACATACAGACTTTGTTCATTGCCAACGAATTCATCATCGATTCGCTTTACGAATTTTAAGTACGACGAGAATAAGTATAATATTCTATTCTCTATTTTAACACGAGGAATTCTATTATATCTGCATTGCTCCGTTACTTATATAATACCCTGCATGTAGTCTGTGACCATAAATTACGTATAATATCCATTAGAGAGATGAATTTTCTTAGTGTACACAGCAATTTAAGTACAGTACATTCATTAAAAGTTTTATAATAAGATTATGTTTAATCACGCGATTTAATGACAATCAATAAAGTCTAATAGGACGTAATAAATAGAAACTCATCCTTCGTATAAGTTGTTATAATTTTATTATATTATAAATATCTTTATGTATTATATACTTATTAATTTGTATAATTAATACAAGTGAAAAATAACGAAAACTTTCCGAGAAATTCGCCTTTGAAATTTGTTGTGTGACGTAAAATCGAGGGGGGGACTGGCTTTTATTCACGTTTTTTTTAAATAACAGTGATTCAATGTTAAAGTTCTTATTGTGCTCGTTGCCAATACAATAACTTGTTTTATTGTTTAATATGTTTTTTGTTTATTAAAGCTGTCCAAACGCTCAGACACTCATACGCACTCCTCGAAAAAAATTGTTCTTACATTTATGAATAGAAAATAATATGTATATTTTTCTCTAGTTTTTCATTCAGTTAAACCTGTGTAAACAGGAATTTCCTTTTCGGTTTGACAGGTTTTTATTTTATAAATAACCCTGTTTATAACGGAAACCTGTCAAACACGAAAAGATATTCGGTACGTTACGTACCCGGTTTACACAGGTTTCACTGAAATAATAAAAGCCTAAGCCTATTTAAAGATATATATAAATTTCAAATATTTTTATTAGTTCAAATATAATGAATATAATACAGGTAAACTTCTAATAACGTCCACCTGTAAATAGCGGCCATTTTTTCCAGAAATTTTTACAAAGTTCCTAAAGAAAGTAACAACCAAATAATATGTTATTTTCAATGCATTGTTTAACGGAAATGCATAAAAAATAACCTTTGAACAACGGCCATTTTTCGGTGGCCGTTGTCTACAGGTTCGATAGTATTATCATTGAATACAGTAAAACCTGCTCAAAACGAATCTTTAATAAAGCTAAAATCTGTATAAACTGTAAATATACTCTACGAGTCCGGTTTACACAGGTTTCACTTTATATATATATTTTTTTAATTAAAAAAATTTGAATTGACTCGTCAGAAAATTAATACGACAGTAAATATAGTTAATTTTAATAATTACAGTAAAAACTGTGTAAACCGGAATCTCACGATAATCGAATATTTTTTTCGGGTTTGGCAGGTTTCCGTTTTGAATAGGATTTTTTAACACAGAAAAAATTGTGTCGTTTTGAAGTGTATTGTCCGTCTTAGACGAGTTCCGTGTTAGACAGGTTCCGTCTTAGACAGGTTTTACATAAAATTTTATATAATAAAATAGATGATTTCGTTAAATTATTTCCATCTTGTTTTCTTGGATTTTCCTCAAGCGTTTTTATGATTTACGAGAATATTATTTTCTCGTCGACACAATAACCGGTTGTTAATGTCAAGGAAACGTTACGAAACAGCGTAACCTGTTGCTAGTATTTATTAAATTTACAAATCTTTACGATACACAGAAAGACGACGATAATGTGGTTGACAAATCAGGTGAATTTTTAACCTTAATTTAACATTTAATTAGCGCCTTTGTAGAAAACTTGTCGGGCGTTACGTTTAAGAGAATTTAATTTTAATCATTAGAATAATTAAGGAAAAACTATTGTTGACATTTCAGGTTACTACTTTCTTGGTATTATTTACGTTATTTCTAAGTAAAAACTCGTATATCGAGGGTCAAGAACAGGTTAAATATGCCGTAAAAAGAAGAAGCCATTCGGAAAGTTTGGTTTCAGCAAACAATAAATTATCTTTTAAATTATTAAATACTATGGAAAATGGTAAGAATATTTTCTTCTCGCCTTTTAGTATCCACTCAGCATTATCCATGCTTAACGAAGGTGCGAAAGGAGTAACATCTCAAGAGATAAGGGATGTTCTCGGTTACGATATAACTGGTGTTAATAGTAACACTACTTCGAGAGATTTTAACGTGTTACTACGTCTTATAGAGAGTTTCGGACCCGAATATCAATTGCAAGTGGCAAATGCTTTACTTACTCAATCGAATTATCCGGTGTTTAAGGAGTTTGTTACGAAAATAAGTGAAGATTTTAAAGCTTTCGTTAAGAATATTAATTTCGAAACGGGTGAAGATTCCGTTAGAGAAATTAACAATTGGATAAACGATGCCACTGGTGGAAAGATAAAGAGCATTATTAAAGAAATCAAAGAAGATACTAAAGCCTTAATACTAAATGCAGTCTACTTTAAAGGTTCCTGGGAAAATCCATTCGATGAGAAGAATACAGAAAATATTATTTTCTATAACAATGGTATTAATCCAGTTAACAGTCCCATAATGATTAGGGAAATAAGTAAATGCATGTATACTAGAAATACGGAAGAAGGTTTCCATGCCGTATCACTTCCGTATAAAGGTAACGATGTAGAAATGATAATTATTTTACCATTGCCAAAATATACCATAAATAATATACGATTATCGAATGAAAAGATGGAAGAGATTATCTCAAGCATGAGAAATTTCAAAGTGATTGTTAAACTACCGAAATTTACTATTGAATATTTTAGGGAATTAAAAGAAGATTTAATAACATTGGGAATGAAACAAGCATTTACAAATTTCGCTAATCTTTCGGGGATTAACGAAGATAAAAGGTTATTTGTTAAAAGTGTTTTACACAAAGCTGTTATAGAAGTGAACGAAAGAGGAAGTGTTGCAACAGGAACCACTGCCGTAATTGTCGGAACTAGAATAAGCCCTGTGCTATTTATATGTGATCATCCTTTCCTCTTCGTTATCCGCGATAGAAGAACAAGGATGAATCTTTTCATCGGACAGATTAATCAATTGTAAACAAACAAAGCTCGTTTTGCTTCCATTAAAAAAAACACCTTTATTCGATGTTAAATTTTTATAATGTATACATATACAGGAATAAAAATGAGAATTATTCATTAAATTTTAACATCTCTTTGTTAATTATTTACTTAAGAAAGAAGAAATCCCTGTTACAGATGAGTAACTCGCCCAGCAAATAAAATGGCATTCGTTCTTTTATCTCTTATAAAAAATAAAAACGGATGATCAACGTAAATACTGGGATTTGCTGAATATTCCACAATAACTATACCAGTAACAGCAGCAGCTTCACTTCCTTCTTCATTAATTTCAATAGCTGCTTTATGCAAGATTTCCGAAACAAGTAGATTCTTCCTACCATTAATACCAGAGAAATCCGCATCGGTTGTAAATAATTCACCTAATCCGAGATAAGTTAAATTGTTCTTTAATTTCCTACTGTCTTCTAATTTAAATTTTGGTATTGTAACGTCCATTTTTATCGGATACATTTCCGAAATGCATTCGTCTAAACTATGGACATCTAATATGGATTCAACTTCACTTAATTTATCATTTTCTATGGGTAATATTATTAACATAGATAAATGTTTTCCTTTGTAAGGTAATTCGATGATTTGAAATCCCTTGTCACCGTAATAACCAGTTAAAAACTTATCTTCCATATACATCATTGGAATAGAAACAGGATTTACACCATAGTTATAAAAAGTCCCATTTCTAGTGTGTTCGGTATCGAATTCTTTATACCATTTGCCCTTAAAATAAATGGCATTTAGTAATATCATTACGGCATTTTGTGGTAAATCTTCTAGAAGTTTGGGTATTTTATTATTGGTCGAATTTCTAACCCAATTATTAATCTCTTCGATTGTCCCTTCGACATCACCAGCAAAGTCTGCTTCCTTCGATAGAGCATTGTAATAATTTTCTATGCCATTTTTAAATTCTGGTACAATAAAATAACCTTTCTGATATAGAAAAGCATTAGCAATTGAAATTTTATACTCATTCGGTGCTTCATTTAAGTAATTAATCAGGGAATTAAATGATTCGTGAATGGTCGTTTCGTTGGTATTAACGCTGTCGTATTTAAGTACACGCTGCATCACTTCTGCTGTTGTACCGTTAGAACCAGCAAATAACATTCCTAAAGCAATGTAAATGCTTATTGGTGAATAGAAGACATTTTGATCTTCGGGAAATTCCTTTAAAAGAGCGAAACAAAATTCATTGTTAGCCTGAGATAAATTTGTAACATTCTGCTGCATTGTTAGAACAAACAAGGAGAAGATTCCGAGTAAAATAAACGTCTTCATCTTTTATCTGAAATTAAAAAATTAATTTTTTAAACGATAAATTAATAGAATATTCCCTCAAATATATATTTCTAATAGAAAAAAACAGATTAAATTTAATACTGTATTCATCAATACTTAAACAGGACAAACCTCTCGACTTGCAGACAAGAATATACTACAAATCTGATTACATTTATCATTGTTCCGTTAGGATGTTTACGTAGAAACAGTTTCCTTTAAGGATTCATCAGTAAAATATTGGTAATTTCCCCCTCCCCCTTATAAAAAGTTATTATATTATTGTGTATTATAAAATATTTTCTTTATTAAATATATAATACCATTTATATATAAAATATAAATTTAATAACGTTATAAACTATCTCATTACAAACGTCTTTATTCTAATAAATTTGGCTCAACAATAGACACTTATATAACACCACTAAACACGTGTCTAACACTTAAATATGTCTAATCCCATCAATTCAATTCAATATACAGTCGACCCCCCTATAACACTGTTGATTTTTTCGTTTTATATGAATTCCATGTTGTACGAGTCACTTAGATTTTACAAATATGTGAGCCGTTCACAGCCCGGCACACGTATTTGTAAAATCTAAGTGGCTCGTACAACATTGAATTCATATAAAACGGAAAAATCAATAGTGTTATGGGGGGGTCGACTGTACTACTAAAATTTTCATATTACGTGATTAAAATGTATTAATTATACATTTATATATTGAAGGAGAACAGGTTAGGATGTTTCTTCTCCTTCGTTACATACACCAACAGCTCTATAATTCATAATACCAGTACAAAAGTAACTTATACACCTATTACTGGTGAAATAAAGAGTGGAGATATTTACGTATTATGTATTAATAATAAAAACTACTTACACCTGAAGTGGAAATAAAGAAAAAAAACACCCTCTTCTTACTTAAAACGTTGGTATAATGTATCGGGAACGACACTTCCTCTCTGTATTTATTCAGTAGAAAACAGGTGTAAACAGGTCATGTGCTTCCCAGAATTGAGCAATAATTACTCTACTAGAAACTTTATAATACGTTTGGAAGTTTAAAATTAATATTTTGTGCCTTCAATCGATTAAATTTTGTTAAATTACTGTCCGAATTCGCATCGTTATACTGAATTACCAGCGTTAAAACCTTAATAAATACAAAAATAATTAAGTTTTAAATATACGTGAATTGAATATTTATTACCTGTTAAAGACACGAACAAATCGACATACTAAATTCGAATTTAAAGCCATCAAAATCTCTATATTTAAATATAATTAACCTATTTTCGTTTCTCAATCGATGTCATCAAAAGGCGTCGACATTTTTATCATTTTAATTGAACGTTAAGGCTGGATTTATAAACTAAACACGCTACTACAGCTTAGGGCCTCGTGCCAGAAAGGGCCTCGCTCCGTTCTCAAAAGAATTAATATATTAACAAGTATTATTTACGTGGTATCTTAGGGCCTCGACACGTTTAAGTCCATCTGTTGTAAAGACAGGTATACTTTTTTTTAATGAAAAATGCAATATATTATGACTATTCATTTTTAAATATATTAATTAACATATTTATAAATAAATATATTTATAATTTAAATAAATATCAATATAAACTTCACAAATACACATTAGAGAGGTTGCGGCCGAAGTTTTCGTCTCTCAAACGTGAACGTCGAACGTCGAATCTTGTAAGCGGCGCTCGACGTTCGACGTTCACGCTCGACGTTCGACGTTCACAATTGGAACATGACCCACTTTCTTGGCTATTAAAACGTGATTATTAGAGAGTTTGCGGCCGAAGTTTTCGTCGCTCAAACGTGAACGTCGAACATCGAGCGCCGCCATCTTGTAAGCGGCGCGACGTTCACGCTCGACGTTCGACGTTCACAATTGGAACATGACCCACTTTCTTGGCTATTAAAACGTGATTATTAGAGAGTTTGCGGCCGAAGTTTTCGTCGCTCAAACGTGAACGTCGAACATCGAGCGCCGCCATCTTGTAAGCGGCGCGACGTTCACGCTCGACGTTCGACGTTCACAATTGGAACATGACCCACTTTCTTGGCTATTAAAACGTGATTATTAGAGAGTTTGCGGCCGAAGTTTTCGTCGCTCAAACGTGAACGTCGAACATCGAGCGCCGCCATCTTGTAAGCGGCGCTCGACGTTCGACGTTCCACGTTTAGCGCCGCCATCTTGTAAGCTTATAAGTTTGAGAATGGCGTTTGGACGTCGAGCACGATTCCAATAATGTTCCAAACGCCATTGTCAAACTTATAGGCTTACAAGATGGCGGCGCTAGACGTTCGACGTTCACGTTTTATAGACGAAAACAACTTCGGCCGCAAACTCTCTATTAAACAGTTATAGTGTGATTTTAATAAATAATATACATTTCTGCCATTTTATTATTTTATTAAATTAACGAAAAGAAATTCGTTTTACAATTAAACACTTAAAAAAAAACAAAACTGATAATTATAAGCTGTTCAATCGTCCAATCATCACAATCATTCCCGTATTCCTTTCTCGAATTAAATACATAAATGGATGATCGACGACCATTTTCATATATTTAACATTAGATCTTCTGTCTAAAAACGGTCTGAAAAGTCTCGTTCCTCTTCCATTTACTTCGATAATCGATTTATGTAAAATATCAGAAATATAGAAATCGTCTTTCGAATTAATTTCGAAATAATTTGCTCTTCTAGAAAACGTATTTTCTATACCCAAGTATTGTAAATTCTCTTTGAATTTCCTTGATTTTTCCATTCTAAATCGTGGAAATTTTATATCTAAGTGTTTAACTTTCAAACTTTTTCTAATATCTTCAAATACATCGTAATCAATTTGATTTTCTACTTGACTCAATGAATAATTCCCCAATGGTCGTATGATAAACATTTCGTATTGTTTACCTCTAAAAGGTAAATTTATTACTTCAGTATTGTTTAGATAATTTCCATAACCCAATTTTCCTTTCAGATTTACCATTGGAGTTAAATGTAATTCCTTACCATAATCGTAAAATACATTTAAATTAATCCAATCGTTCCTTTCGATTTGGGTCCAAGTTCCTTTAAAGTAAACGGCATTTATCAGTAAAATTCTTGTATCTTTTGGAAATTCTTTTAGTGTATTACGTATTATTCTATTCGTATTCCTATAAATCCATCGATTTACATTACGTACGGCATTTGTATTATTTCTAGATAAAAATGCATGGTAATTTTCTTTTACTAAATGTTTATATTTGGGAGAAATTTCGTATCCATCTTCGGATAGAATTACATTTGCAATTTCCATTCTGTTTCCGTTTCTATTATCATTTTTTAATAAATCAAACAAAGAATTAAATGATTGATGGAATGTTTCTCGTGTCATTTCAGTCTTGTGATAATGAAGTGAGGAGTTCAATTGTTCAGCGGTTTCTCCTGTTGCTCCAGCATAAGCCATTGCTAAAGACACGTAAATACCAATAGGAGAGAAACCCACATTTTTTCCACCGGGGAAGGTTTTCAGAAGTTCAAATGCAAACTGGTTATTGGCATCTGACAATTTAGTATGTCCTGTATGTGCTGCTGTAACCCCAGCAATTAGCAATAGTAGAATGATTATAGGGGTTGTTGACTCTTCACAATAACACATGTTTATCTGGAAAGAAACGTAAATTTGTATCTCAAACAGTAAAATATACATAAATTTTTTTGTATATTTGTTTGTTACTTATTGTAACAATACCAGTCGACCCCCCCATAACACTATTGATTATTCCGTTTTATATGAATTCCACGTTGTACGAGTCACTTAGATTTTACAAATATGTGTGCCGGGCTGTAAACGGCTCACGTATTTGTAAAATCTAAGTGACTCGTACAATATGAAATTCATATAAAACGGAAAAATCAACAGTGTTATAGGGGGTCGACTGGTATTGTTACTTATTGTATAATAGATAATGACGCATTAACAGTAATTTTCTATTGTATCGTTCGCTATAAATATCCCACCTTTGATATAAATTTAAAATATATGCTCTCCACCTCAAATTAGAAGTGTCTTGCCCCTGTACATCAGGCTTTTCCAGTTAGCAATAGAGTCTACTTTTTTGAATTAAAATAACGTGACTTTCCGGTGATAACTAGAAGTTTATTTATAGTTAATATGGGCCAAAAGCCACTAATCTTACCATATCAGCTCTCAATTTTCATATATCTATCTCCGTTATCAAGATTAAGGGAGGACAGACAGTGGGAATTTATAGGTTCGAGTTCCATCCCAATTAAAAAAAAATCTAGAAACGATTTGATTAACTTAATTACTATAAAATAGCAAAAAGATTAATTTTGAGGGTAGAGATGGGTTTTATAAAAGTTTGTAAATGCTAATAACCAGTAAAATCGTCATTAAATCCGACCCTACTCGAGATATGACATAAGACTCCCCCCTTATCTCTCCACCCCCTTGACCTTTAACTACTAAAATTTAATATCATCGATCCCCCTAACAAACAAACCTCCCCGCAAAATTTCGGAAATTTTCGACAAAAAGCACAAGAGTTATTAAGCTTTAAACAGGGTAAACAAAATCTTCCCCCCTCACACACTATCATAAACACATACAGAAATTACCCCCGAATTTTTGACGTTTCAATGTGTCCTAAGCCCAAAAATGTAAAAATCTAGAGGGTCACTTTTCGACCGATCGCCATACTTTCTCTCTGTTATATATTAATATAACAGAACCTAAAAAGTAAAATAATATATACTATATTATCCATTTTTCATTGGCATTTTTGAGTTTAATTTATTCCTGCAGATTTATTATTGTATTTATAAGATTATTATGTCTAAAATCATATATTTTCTATAATATTAAGCTAAAATATTTGGGAAAAAAATACACTTACGAATAACTCCTTTTTGAAATGGAAACGATTAACACATTTGTATTCATTCTCCCTGTTTTTATATAGTTTATATATCTCTGGGGATTCTTCCTCTTTCCTGATTTAAATTAACATTAATATAATACTATATCGACAATAGAGGAGACATTTCCAATCAATTCTCTAACAGGAATTTCATAAATTTAAAGGTTAATGTCCGTAATACTCCCAAAACAATTGATGCATATAGTTTACTTATAAGTCAATCCCCCTATAACACTGTTGATTATTCCGTTTTATATGAATTCCATGTTGTACGAGTCACTTAGATTTTACAAATAGGTGTGCCAGGCTGTGAACAGCTTACGTATTTGTAAAATCTAACTGACTCGTACAACATGGAATTCATATAAAACGGAATAATCAACAGTGTTATAAGGGGGTCGACTATATTTGTTAAAGGAATGTCGAGTTTTATTTAGATAAGTCTTTATTATACAAAGTTTAGATAAAGGTCGTCTAAAGGTCAATGTACTGTACTTCATTTATTAACGTTTAAAACTAAAACACGTGTTAAAATATGCTTATTTTATCAATACAAAGAAAATGTACACACGAACAAGTTTCTTACATATAAAAGTTTATTTATTACTATATTATTTAATAAAGAATATAGCAAAACGATAATTACTATATAATATATGTATCGAATAATACAAAAGGTATATTGACGAAAACAATATTTCCATTTGTTTGCTTTATTTAATTTACGTTAAATAAACTAATTGTATTTATTTCGGTACAATAGAAATTCTATCATAAAAGGTGGAAGAGGTAGTTTAATAAACAATTTTTCGTCTAATCCCTTCCACACTAGTGATAACCGCTTTCTGATGATTGCCCTGACAATTTGAGTGAGAGGAAGAGGTGTCGTTCGTAAATTCTCTATCCAAGAATAGAAATTCTCGTCTTTCCTCCAATCAGATGGTAATCGAGAAGGGTGTAATCTCCAACGAGGTCGTATTTGTGCACCTGCATTAACCAACAGTTCGAACATTTCACGATCTTCCTTCTCTACAGCCCAATACAAAGGGGAACGTCCTCGTGAATCTTCGAAATCCAAATGACATCCCCTGACTACTAGAGCTTCGGCAATACGTATTCTTCCACCGTATTTAGCGCATAAATATAGAGGACAATCGCTCCAACATTTAAAAGCGTTAACATCGGCACCACACCGTATCAATAATTGGACTAAATCGTACCTCCTCTCTTTGGCAGCGATCCATAATGGAGTCTTACCGAAAAAATCGATTCGATCTGGATCGATCGATGGACATTCTAATAACATTTGACAGATTTCGAAATGTCCCAATCTACAGGCAGAACATAGGGGTGGTTCTATCCTACCCAAATGATCTTGACTTCTCTGATTTACACTTGCACCTGCTTGAATTAATGCACGGACAGTTTCCGAATTCCCTCGATACACGGATAAGCTTAATGGAGTTGCACCTGCTATCAAATGATCGGGATCAGCTCCAGATCGAATTATCTTTTCTACGGCTTTTGCATCACGGCGGACAACTGCCAAAAACAAATCTGCTGTAGTAGCGACGGCCATAACTCTGGAAGGATGTTGATAGATGAGAGGATGCTGCACACCACAGAGAACTAAAAATAGTGATGCGGGTCGACGATCCTTCTCTAATTTCTTACGTGTAAAATCTTGTAAATAAGTCGAATATTTTCTTTTTTTTTTTAAATAAAGAATACGACGGTTAACTTCGAACGAATTACAAATTGTTCATTCTTCTATTATAAGTCGACTCGTTCCAAAAATATAAGCTTCTCGAGTTACAGAATTTATTTTTATACACATTTAACACGGCTTTCGGTCCATGGTTTATTCAAATGAGGTGCATTATCCTTATTGTTATAACGTAGTTTGTTAGCAATTCTAACGCTTAATAAAAAATAATTGTTCCGTCGATGCAATTTATAATGATTGTAGATAAATTTATTTACGTCCACTTGCAGTAATTGACTTTTGTATTGTTTATAAAGTAAATAGAAATTGTTATTCAAACTTGTGTGTTTATTAAAGATCTAAACGATAAAAGCGTGAATCATTCGAGAAATATTAGCATTGATTTTTTCTCCATTTAAATTTAGAAATCGAATTTTTTTTTTTTGCTTTCTATTGATGGTGAGGAACCGCAGTTAGTGTGAAATTTCTAGTGTTTAACAGGCAGCATTCGAACTTCCTAACGGTTTGGTTGATTTTAACAGCTAAGGCCCTTCTCTATCTCTCTCTATACCTACTTGCTGAATGGTGCAGGGGACCTAGCAGGCAGGTAGAAGGCCTTCTTTCCTAACAATCATATAACGGTTTGGTTGATTTTGGCAGCTAGGCCCTTCTCTCGCTCTCTATACCTACTTGCTGGATGGTGCAAAGGCCCCAGCAGGCAAGTAGAAAGCCTTCTTTCCTGCATATCATGGATTTGAATGACGAAAACGGAGATCAACATACCTGGACGTTGTTTATATGTCAAAGGTCTATTGCTGTGTTCTACATTTTTGGACTTTAAATCTTAAAACGTATCTTAAACATTATACTGCTAATCAAAAGTTCAAATAAACCTGTTTATTTAAACTTTTCGTGGATTTTAAATTCTTATTTTTATCTTTTATATCTTATTTATCTCTAAATGAATCGCTTTATTGTTTTATTTACATTGCTGATTTTGATAAATAACTAAATTCGAATAATACTCTTATTGTTAACGATGTTTTATTAAGTCTGTTCCTAATGAAAATATTATATTTTCTATTATAAAATACATTTAACATGTAAACAGTTAATTTTTTTTTCTCTCTTATATTTGCCATTTTAACACGTGTTTTGCGCTTATTTAATTTAATAAATTTGATCAAATCAGCACGTAATTACTTACGTAAGTCGAACAGATGTTTAAGTACTTTCAAGCCCCTGACATTTCTAAATTTAATCGTCAAAACAAGAATTTATTTTTAGAATAATTCGCCTTTTAACTAACTTAAGTATTGTGCATTGTTTCCTGTAAATCAGTTTGTAATACGTTTGACATGGAAATTATCATCGTTTAAACATTGAAATCCCTTATCTTTAATGACCTGATACGTCATTGCAGCTATATTTATACACTGTGATACTTCAATGAGGTTTTCTCTTATCTTTTCGACATACTTCCTCCATTCAGTATGGCAATTTCTGCCTATACACGCGACCTTTTCCTAGCAGTGGCCAATCATGATACCTGTACCGTCAGGAGGATTATCCAGTCGGGTGTCGAGTTGGACTTTGTACATAATGGAACCACTCCTCTAGGACTCGCTGTTTGTCAAGGAAACGAAGGAATAGTTCGCCTATTAATAAGGGCGGGAGCGGATGTTAATTTAGGAAGTTGCGACCGCGAAGGTAGAACGGAACCTCCTTTGTATACAGCTTGCCGGTTAAGCCGTCTGGATATTTGTTGGCTACTCTTGGAGTCACCCTCTATCAAACTAGATCATTCTGATATATATCTTAAATTTCCTCTATATATCGCTACTAAAGAAGGTAGGTATGATCTAGTTAAACTTCTGCTGCATAAGGGAGCCAATGTAAACGCTCCTCGAATCTGGTACGAATGCCCTTTGTACTTGTGCGCTAAATACGGTGGTAGGAACCGTATTGCCGAATGTTTAATCGTTCACGGAAGTCCACTGGACTTATACGATTCCGTCGGGCGTACTCCTTTGTACTGGACTATCGAGAGAGAGGATAGAGATATGTTTCAACTACTGGTACGAGCTGGAGCTCAAATTCGTCCTCGTAAACGACTACATCCTTCTCAATTACCACGATCCTGGAAGAATGATGCTTATTTTAGTGCTTGGTTGGAAGAATTATGGAGGAAACCTCTTCCTCTGACTCATTTAATCAGATCATTTGTCAGAAGGTGGTTGTCTTTAAAGTGGAATGGTCTGGACGATCGAATGTTTCGACAATTACCCCTTCCTCCGTTCCTCATAGAATTTTTATTACTCGAACGTAAAGACGATTAATCTGATATATTTTTAATCAGATGTCAATTTCAATTAAAAATAAGACATAAAAAAGCTTGTGTTTTCCTCCCTACATGTGTTAAATGACGACCTTGACCTATTGTAGAAGCCAACTCGCGCTAAAAAATCCATTACAAAAGACACATTTATTCCAGTAACTTAATTCTTTAATTAAACGTATAAAATAATTCTTACAAATTATTTACTCTTCCAGCGAATAAAATCAAATTTGTTCTTCGTTCCCTTATGAAAAATAGGAATGGATGATCAACGTTAAACAGTGAAAACGATGATACTGGCACTCCTTCAAACGCATTCACAGCAGCTGCTTCGGTTCCTTGCTCATTAACTTCGATCACTGCTTCATGAAGGACATTAGAAATTAAGATATTTCTATCGTTGCTAATGCCAGAGAAATCAGCAAATCTATTAAATAAACTGCCTAATCCAAGATAAGTCAAGTTTGCTTTAAGTTCTCTGGAGTCTTCGAGTCTAAACTTTGGAATAACCACAGATAATCTGTGTGAACTCATCTTTAACTGAGATATGATTTCGTTTAGGCTTTCGGAGTTAAGATTTTGTTCTATTCCATCGAGTACATTCGAAAATGGCAGCATAATTACCATACTAACGTCATTTCCTTTATATGGAAGCTCAATGGCTCTTAATCCTTTATCCGGATACCAGTTGATCGGGAAGTATTCGTCGATATGCATCATTTGAACGAGAACTCTATCGACACCATTATTATAAAAATAAGCATCTGTAGTTGATTTTGGATCGAATCTTTTGTGCCAAATACCTTTGAAATAAACGGCATTCAGAAGAATCATTATTATGTCCGGTGGAAGTTCATTTAAAAAATTCGGGATTTTTCCTTTTGTCTTTTCTCTGATCCATTCGTTTATTTCTTTAATGGCTTCACTTTCTTCCTCGAAATCGATCTCTTTGATAAGAGCTTCGTAATAATTATGCAAGACCTTTCTAAACGAAGGATTAACGTAGAAATTTTCTTGAAAAATCACAGCATTAGCTATCTCGAGCCTATATTCAAGTGATTGACTCTCTAAAAAATTGATCAGACTACCGAATATTTCATGAATGGATCGATCATTTAATTGATCATCCTCGTAATTGAGTACTCGTCGCATCTCTTCAGCCGTCCAACCTTCAGCTCCAGCATATAACATACCCAAAGCTATGTAAATACTCGAAGGAGAGAAGAATACATTTTGCTTAGCAGGAAATGTTTTAAGAAGAGAAAAACAAAATTCGTTACTTGATAATACTAAATCTTTCAGTTGAGACTCAGAATTAACAGTAAAGTGTATTGAGAGTAACACCATCAGCACTTTCATCGCCATTATGACACTAACAAGTAAAATTTCAAACGTAAATTAACTGAATAGAATAAGGATTATATATAATTTAATTTAAATTATTACTTTATATTTAAAATATTTAACGTATACTTACTCTAAGTTGTTTAGTTCTTCCTTTAAAATGAAATGGTGTAGCTAGTGTAGTTCAAATTTAATTACTTCTTATCAGTTAGAACGTGTGCCACAATTTTTTTAGATTGTAGACATTATTTCCGTTCGTTAATTAGAAATATATTTTTTTATTTTTTAAATTAAAGTGTTTATCAAAAATCCATTAAACACTGTAGACGGAAAGAGGAATGTTTTTTTTAATGATAATGTTTCGTATTAATTTGTTAAAATCCCGACCATTGAGGAGTTCCTTCGAATTGCTGTGTTAACTGTTAAATTCTTGTTTATAGAAACATGTAAATAAAATTTCTCTTTCGACAGCAGAAGATATTTTTCATTACAATTTCATTTATTACAAATTACAATTTCATTTGTAATTTGGTTCATCTAAAGAAGAAGACCATGGGGAAATAGAAAAATCGACAAGACGTTCTGTAATAAGCGAAGAGGGGGGTTGGAAGGATTTTTGGCCCAGCAGTTTAATTTTGCTAATTCGTCACAGAAGATTGGTGACAATTACGTGTATGTTTGAAAATTTTGGAAACGGCAAGCTGCTGCAGAGGTTTCACACCATCACCGCTTTGCGAGGAAGCCATTATTGAGTAGCAAAATATGATAATTTGGATGAGGATAATCCAGAAATATACTGTCCTGATACTGTTCCATCCTTCTCTATAGTAAATACTTTCATCCGTTCTGTGCAGGCAGCCATTTTTTTCTTTTTTTTTTTTTTTGTTTGAAATCGCGGCATGGTAGAAGCAAGAGGAATCTCGCTTCTCTGTCGCCCATGATAATCGGGATCAAGATTTCATTTACCGATTCTTTTTAATGCTCTTAATCTTTATTCACGAAATCTGTGGATCAATTAGCTCAATTTATTGAGAATAAATGAAAAAATTTTCAATATTCTTCGCAACCTCTTCCCTTTCTCCATATAAAAAAAAAAAAAATACGGTCCCTATAACACTGTTGATAATTCCGTTTTATATGAATTCCATGTTGTACGAGTCACTTAGATCTTACAAATACGTGTGCCGGGCTGTGAACGGATCACGTATTTGTAAGATCTAAGTGATTCGTACAACATGGAATTCATATAAAACGGAATTATCAACAGTGTTATAGGGGGGTCGACTGTATAACGATAATAAACATAAAATAGTATTTTAATATATGTTTATTAATTCACTTTGCCAGATATTACAAGAAATTAGCGAATAAAACTTACAAACGAGTAACTCGTCCAGCAAACAGAATCATATTTGTTCTCAAATCTCTTATGAAGAACAGAAATGGATGATTCGCATAAACAATACCAATTGCTGATTCGGGTACAAGTTCAATGCCGCTGACAGCAGCAATTTCGCTTCCTTCTTCGTTAACTTCGATCGTTGCTTTATGCAATATTTCAGAAACTAACAACTCATCATCATTGTTAATGCCAGTAAAATCGGCATTTCTATTAAATATATCACCTAATCCTAAATATGTTAAGTTACTTTTGAGTTTTCTGCAATCTTCTAGTTTAAATTTTGGAATAGAAACGTCTATTTTATTTGGAAGTATCTTCAAGCGCGAAATAATATCTTTCAAGCTTTCCTCATCAAGATTTTTTTCTATCTCATCAAGTTTATCGTGCCATAACGGTAGTATAATTAACATACTGATGTCTTCACCTTTATAAGGAATTTCGACGGCATTCAACCATTTTTCTGGGTACCATACATAAGGTAAGTGATCTTTAATATTCATCATGGAAACGGTAACTTTATTTACTCCGTCGTTATAAAATATGGCATCATTTTGTGTCAATTCCGGATCGAATTGCTTCTGCCAAATGCCCTTAAAATAAACAGCATTTAATAGAATCATTATTAAATCTGGTGGTAATTCGTTGAGAAATTTTGGAATTTTTCTGTTAGTATTTTCTTCGACCCATTGATTAATTTCTTCGAGTGCTTCTTCGGCGTTTTCTTCGAAATCCAATTCTTTTACGAGTGCCCCGTAATAGATTTTCAAGATCTCTTTAAATTCAGGTGAAATGTGGAAGCTTTCTTGATAAACTAAAGCATTAGCCAACTCTATTCTATATTCGGAAGATTGGCTTGTTAATAAATTGATCAAATTACTAAATGTCCGGTGAATATTTCCTTCGTCGCTATACCCGAGTACACTTTGCATTGTTTCAGCTGTCGATCCTCTTGCACCAGCATATAACATACCCAAAGCTAAGTAGATGCTTGCAGGAGAGAAAAAAACGTTTTGATTAATGGGAAAAGTTTTCAGTAGAGAAAAACAAAATTCATTACTGGTCGATGCTAATTTTTTAATCTCCTGTTGACCATTGGCAATTAGAAAAATTGAGCAGAATAATAAAATTTTCATCATCTTCGGACTATAAAAAATAAAAAACAATGTATAAATAAATAATTCTTGTTTCAATTACGTATTTAATACTTTTTATATAAAAATTAATTACTTACTTCAGCTCTCGGTACTTGCTTCAATTTGAAATTAAACGGAAATAACTCGATTAACAGCTTATAATTTCTTTCTTATCCATTAGGAAATGATATAAAAGGCGATTAAATTGTAATAATTTCCGTTCTTTAATTAATAAAATAGATTATTTTCTAAATAATTGTAAAAAAAAAATTCTTCTCAAATTTATTTTTCTAGACTTTCCCGATATTCTTTGTTTTCATACCTGATAATTGCTATCGTTACCTTTGTCTTCGATTGTTTCTGGAGATGTTAAGGTGATGGGACCATATTTCCCGAACCAATGGTCCGATTTTCCTGAAAATTTCTAGAAAAATCTCTCTCTAATACCCAAACCTTCTTGCAAAATTACAGAAGTTTTCATCAAAAGGCATAAGAGTTATTAAGCTTCAAAGAGGGTGAACCCAAGTCGTACCGCACACCTTCTTGGGAGAGGATAAGGCCAAAATACAGGGGTTAAAAATAAAGTTTAATAATATTAATAAAAATTAAAATAATTGGGATATGGAAATCGTTCTATAATACAGATGGGGAATGACCTTATTATTTTTTCCTATTATTGGAAGCCATCTTGAAGAGGAAATCTCTCCAGAAATTCCGAATTGTCTTCATTTATTTCGACGCCATTTTGAATCGGAGAAGTAATTGTTACTTCTTTTCTTTGTCGATGCCAAGGGTGGGCAACCTTTTTACGTGTAGGGCACAAAAAATGAATGTACTGGATAATATATAAATGGTCATTCATACTGCCAAATAAATCTGTACGTATCCTCATCAAATTATTAAATTAATCGAGTAATAATTCTCTAATATTTTAAGCTGGAATACTTAATATATTAGCAGGAAACAGTTAAATTGAAAAATAAGAGGGCAGAGGATTCGAAGTACTCAGCTATGTGATCAGGGACCACTAATTTTAAGTATTACATCAGTAGTTTGTGTAGAAGGGAATCCGTTTGTATCTGACAATGAGGGAGGGAGGGCGAGTCTTTATTGAGGTAGATTGATGATATAAATCATAAGTAGCACAAATACTGTATTTCCTACCATTATATGTATTTATTGTTTAATCAAATCAATATATTATTATATTTTATAAAACAAATGAAAATTATAATTGCTGGACACGTCCAGCAAACAAGATCATATTTGTTTTACGATCCAATACATAAAACAAAAAAGGGTGATTAGCATGAAATATTGACAAAGAACTGCGATAAAGTAATTGAATATTTGAAGCTGTAGTGACAATGCTTCCTCTTTCATTAGCTTCCATTACAGCTTCGTGCAACACGCCCGATACGTACAGATCGTAATTTCCATTAATACCAGAAAAACCTGCCTTTTCCTTGAAAGATTTTCTTATTCCTAGATTAATAAATTGATTTCTCAGCTTTTTCGACGTGTCTAATTTAAATTTCGGAATGTTAACCTCCACAGTTTCCAGTTCCATCTGAAGTAGGATCCTATTAAGTTCATCAGCATCAATGTTTCTTTCAATGGTATTGAGATTTAGGAATTCGATAGGGAGTACGATAATCATGCTGATGCTATCATCTTTGTACGGAATTTCGAGTACTTTTATCCCTTTATCTATTGAAATAAAACTTAAATTCTCCGATGGCTTACATCATGGGCACCAAAACTCCATCTCTGCCATTATTGTAAAATACACCCATACTGGAATTGAATTTGTTTTTCCAAATTCCATTAAAATACATCACGCTTAATATCAGTAATCTGGTATCTTCTGATATAATTTTATTTATTTTACCTTTGGTTTTTTCTTTAACCCAATCATTTATATCTCTGACAGCTTCTTCTTTGCTTCTTTCAAGGTTGAATTCTTGCACACCAGCATTGTATTTTGTATGTAAAAGTTCTTCGTAACTAAATAATAAGAGATTAACATCCGATACAAATAAAACATTGGAAATATCTAAAAGATTCGAAGAATTCTTCAATTGATTTAGCAATTGCCTGAAAGATTCGTGAATATTGTCGTTATCCAATTCTGCTTTTCTGTATTATAACACTAGCGATATTATCTACCATAGGAAAATATAAATATATTGAAAGCCCTTATAAGGATAGATATGCCAGATCCTGTCCTCATTAGAGGGTCTTTTTTATCAAGCCCATTGTGGACCAAACACATAATGGGCTCGATAAAAAGATCCATATCAGCATACCAGATAACTCCTGTACAGGGTAAATGTACGAATAAAAGAATTTGGAATTTGAAATGTTATAAACAAACTCAAACTAGGAATATTTTTATTTGTTTTCATTTGATTGCTTAATGTTGATTATAAATAATTCAACACAAAAACAAATGTATTTGTAATAATTTTGAGCTTGTATTGTTCCAGAAAATCTCTCATAAATAGTGAAGGTTGTATCAATATATTAGTTGATGGTATATAGAGTTTTATTACAGTAAGATTGCCCAGAAATGGTGGTGATTATCATCAGAAATACAGTAATTATACATAAAAATCATACTAATTCTATTTATTTTATTGTAATAAGTAGCAATAGGTTTGAATAAGTTTTGCTTCTTAAGTAACTTACTTTTGAATCGAGGTTTCTGGTGATTAATATCTATTATATAAGGCGCCATCCTGCTTCACTGAAGCATTTTTCCTTAAGATCAACATAAACTACACAGATGTGAGCCCGATTTTTATTAATTTAAACTTTAAACTACTGTAGAAATGATCACATTTGCAATTTTTTTAAGTACAAATTATATATTTATTTAAATCAAAAAAAAATTAGAGTATTAGTTTAATTTTTTTTTACTTCATTATTTTAACTCCAGTAAATTATTTAACTACATTTTTAATTATAAAAATTTACACTTTAATTTTATTACAGAAAAAAATAATAATAATAATAATTCATACAATTAAAGGTATTATTAGTTCTTTAATTAAAATCACTTAATTATATACAAAAAACTTTTATATATTCTGTGTATAAAAACATCTTTCCCATTTTATATATCTTAAAATCAGATTTATAATTATAAACATTTAACTACCTTTACGCACCCTAATATACTGAATTATAAAAAAACACCGCAAAACAAGAGAAAAGAATAAACTATAATTTATATTATTCTTTTTCATTATATTAATATTATATAACTGATACTATTTTTTTAAATACATGTAACAAATAGACAATAACAATGAAAATAAATAAGAAGTTTTATACTCTCCTGGCTTACTAAATGCATGGAAAATAATTTTAAATTTCTAACAGAAAAAAAAAGGTAGGTAGACATTATGCAACTGTTATAAATCTATGGTCCATAAATATAATCATTTGAATATTTACATTATTTTTTTTTGAAAAATAATGAAAAATCTTAACACTTTACCTTATAACCCTAAATACTATCATATTTTCGGATATATAAATGGTCCAACTTCTTGGAATAACTAAATTTACTAAGAAATCAATAGAACGTAATCAATCAAGCGAGTTGAACTTCGGCCGTCACCAGTATTTTTCGTTCTTGCCCGTTTGAGATTCGACACAGACCGTTCTTCTCTTCGTTCGTCATGTTGATGTGGTTTCTTATATCGTGAGTCTGTTCCTATTAAATAAAATTTAAACGGTGAGCAAATAACTCTTGATAAGAAAACAATGAAAATTATATTTATAATACCGAATTAAACATTCAAGAAAATGTATTATAAATTTAATAAAATTTAAAGTTGGTATAATGGAAGTATATATATATCATAAAAGATGATTGTTCACTGTACTTTACATCAATTTTTACTTGCAAATCACAAAAAACCTCAATAATCTACTGACATAGTGCATGCAACTTTACATGAATGCTATGATACCGATAGAAAAAAAGAAAAAAAAAAAAAAACGCAAATTTACCTTCAAAGAGTAGAAATTAAGTTTTTAATATAGTTTCATACACATTCCTAAATATATTAATAATAATAATAATAATATCTTACAGTAATTTTGTAAAGTATTATTATAGAAAAATTTATGTTAGAATAAGGCAAACGAAAATAAAGAAGAGACAGTTGAAACTGATTAAAAAATAATAATAATTAAAAATATCAAAAATAAATGAATAATTCTTTAAACAAAATAATAGTAAAATAAATTACATACCTTTCACTTATAGAAATAAAGAAAAGTAATGAATAATGCAAATAAGTACAATATTCATTCTGTTTTCAAATTACAAGAATCTTAATGAATTAATACAAATGTCAATTACTTTTTAAATAATCTAAAAATATGCCGAATATTTTCAAATAATCATCTTAAAACTTATCATACAAATATATTTGCTGGTAAAATTTCACAATATAAGTATATGATATTTCGACACGTGATGCTTTCATGTTTTTCTTAAGAACAGTTATTTTAAAATCATTCAAGACACTTCTGTTCCTTCAACAAATATAAAATGCTTTATTTGTATTATAAAATGCTTTTTATTAATTCTTTTAAAAATAAAACATTAGGAAGATAAAATAATCTTGAATATTGCATATAAGATTCAACTCCATTCAGTCTTGACAAATATTCGTACTTATATGTTTTCCTTATATACCATTAATGTACTTTAAGCCAGCTTCACATTTTTCTTCAATCAAAATAAAAATACTAAGTACAGAATTTTATTTAAGGCACGGTAAAGTTTGCGTTATTTAGAAAATAACTTCTACAGTTTTGAACCGCTGAATATCTGTATATAATTATAGTAAATATCTATAATTATATACAGATATTCACTAAATATGTGGCTAATCTTTCAAACAATTTATAGTTTCAAGTAATTTTTAAACTAAATTTGCGTGTGTTATAAACAATATAGAAACAAGCAGTAAATTTTAATTGACGGTTTATTTGATGTCGATAATCAATGTTTACAGATTTGATAAATATGCAATTTGTAGCCGCAATACACTTTATGAAATAATTAGACATAACAGCTGCCAAATTCGTCTTCTTCAGGATTTAACATTAAATTCTTTAATAACCATAAAACTAACTTTTCAAAAAAAATCAACAAAAATCAGATCAGCGTGTCAATTCCGAGGAATGTTATAAATTAAGTTGCACCTAAATCTGATGATAAAAATCAAATTATAAATATACATATTTTATGTAATAAGGTCAAAAAAATATTCATTTATTTCAAATATGTCGCACTAATCTTGTATAGCTTTGCAGTTACTACTTAAAAACATAACACAAACGTTTTTGACCCACTTCTAGGGTCTTCCTCGGGATAGAACACCCGAGGAAGACCCTAGAATATATTTGTAATTATCACTTTGTTTGTTAGATGGATTTCATTTATATCTTAGAAACAAATCTGTTTCTAAGATATCAACTGAAACACAGTGAAAGTTATTTTCTAAATGATATTGCATTTTATACTGAAACACAATCATACTATCAGACAAACTTCCTTGCTTTAAAATGTCTCTAAAATTGAAAAAACTATAAAGTACAGTAATATCTCAGTTTTCATTAACTTCAATTATCGTCGGTTTTTTCAAATGAAAAATTTGTCTCGGTTTTCATCGGTTTTCTCGGGTTTCCCCAGCGTACCCACGACCTCACTGCTAATTTTGTGAAAACAAAAGGCGATGCACACATTTTCCTGCTCATCGTGGCATTGTTTCTCATTTGTGGGCATTACCCCATGAATCTAGCCAAACAATTCCATTGTTTTCCAGTGTTTGTTTTTTTTTTTTTTATTGATTGCAAGTGCTAATACTACAATTTCCTATTGTTTTTAGTATTAAACATTATATTTATTCTCTATAAAACGTGTTTTTGGTATGTATTTTGGAGCATCTAGAACGAATTAATTGGATTTACATTGATTCATATGGAAATAATTGCCCCGGTTTTCATCACTTTCAGATTTTGCAGATTGTTTTTTTGACGGATTATCACCGAAAACCGAAGTATCACTGTATTACATATGAAAATATCAACTGGTTGATATAAAAGTTTTTCACGACAAGAATGCACATCAGTAGTGAATATGTTAAAACTCATTATAAAAAAAAAATACTGTAATTGAATTACATATGTTTTTATTAGAGTTATCAGTTATATTTATCACTTCATTACCTTTGATACGAATGGAGGAAAATGTTTTTGGTGTGAATTTAATTCTATTAATGGTTTACGTTCATACTGACGTCTGTGCATTTCGTCTACGTGCGTAAGATACCACGTTCCCGGAAAAAGATCTTCAATATTTCCTTTTGGAACATAAGGTGCTACAAAAGAAAAAAAACTTCTTAAAAATTGAATATTTAACATTTAAATTATTCACTTATATTCTTCGTTAAAATATTTTATATAAGCAGTTGTCATAAATCCACAATGGCAATGTTAAATCATTCAAACAAGCATTCATACTTATGGCAAATGCCAGACAGACAAGTAACTGTAACATTTCAAACAGTAGATTTATTAGTATCAATGAATTCTTCATTAAAAAACAACCTCTCCTTTATTGCAACCACCAAAACTTTTATTGTTTCAATAAGGTTTTAACACACATCTTGGAAAGAGTAACACTTCAAAAGCAATGTTGAATCAATCTATTTTTAACATCGATTTATATTCTAGAAAACAAATATTAGTAACAAAATTGAAATACAAATATTGACAGTATTGAATGTGTAAACACATAATAGACTTAAGCCTTCAATTTGTCAACTGTAGTCAGTGATGACTGTACATTGAGGTACTTGGGCATGTGCCCCTCTTTTCATCTGTGTTGTCCTTTTCCTAATTCCCAAATTCCATTAACAATAGAAAATTCACGACTTCTAGCCAATTCCACAAATATAAAAGAAACTAATGAATGATATTTGTCCATTGTCCCATACAACTTATTTGTATGCTGATCAAAAGTTGAAAACAAGGAATGTTCCTTGTTTTAAGGCCAAGTTAGCCCCAATTGCAACCAGTGTCACCTTGCGGTAGCACCGTCCAACACTGAATCACAGAATTTTAAGCTCCTTGTATAATGTATGATGCTCTTTTTTATAGCTTATATCCCCCTTTTTGATAGTCTGCAGGCACCACTGACCAAGATTCACGCTAGAGGTAGTTTAGTTGGTTCCACCAATGAACCAAACCAGAGTTGCATGTAATCTGGACCATGTCTGAGTGAATCCCCTTTTTCATATCAAGTATACTAAGGATTTGGCAAATTTATCTCTTGGACAAGCCAAGTCAAGTTGGGTGAGCAATAATATAAGAATATACAGAAGTTCTTTTTTTGCCACTATTTTATATATCTGGAATTCAATCAGAATATAAATGAATGCCCCTGCATGCACACAAAAGGTGAAAAGAATTAATACACACTATATTTTCATACTACATAAAAGCCAAATTATAGTTTTTGGTTAAATTTTGTAAAAATAAATTGACTTAATGATGATTTTATAATTTTTCTGAACTGATTGAATTGACAGTAACCAATAGAAATTTTGATTATGAATATCAATTGCAGATAAAAGCAAGAGAAAAATGGAAGCAAACCTTTATGATGAGTTTCCTCACGAAGTTTTAATACTGCAGTGAATTCTGAAGGATCTACTTTCTTCCTGGAGTCGAGTCTACTACGAATATCGCTTAAACTGTTGTGGAGTTTATCAAGAGCAGAACCCGGACTTGCATCATTGACAAAATATAGAGAATACATTGTAGCTGCCATTCCAGACCCATAAGAAAACATGCCTACCCGTTTCCCAGCCAAATGCTCGCATGTATGACTAAAACAAAAAGAAAAAAAGATTAATATAAATACTAGAATTATTAAATCAAAGATAAAAAGTTATTTGAATTATTCTATGTAAGTAACTTTTGAAGAAACAAAATATTTTATAAAAATGTATTATTAGACCACAAAGTGTGTGTGTGTATATGTATATTGAAATATTCACGTTTACATTCAATTACACTTTCCCAATGGGAGGGACAGTTTGACTATTTGAATAAACCAATTTTATAAATAATTTCAATGACTCCCAAAAAAGATCTTCCTTTATGTTTGGTGGATTTTGAGGGGTATTGTTTATTGTGAGTACTTAGACTTGGTCAAACCCTCATAGCAGATTTGTACAGTGAGCAGCTACAAAGAGTATGAGACAAATTACGGCAAAAACAGCCATCTTTGGCAAATCGTCGCGGGTGTTTTGTTTTTAAAGTTTGCCCACATGTTGCAGAAATTACAAGAAACAAAATAATGCAATTGGGATTGAAACTTTTATCTCATTCTTCCTATTCTGATGACTACAGATTATCATATTATTTTATCTTTGGATAAATGTATGCATGGAAAATTTATAAATCACACAGCTATAAAACAAAAAGTAACTCAATTTTTAATGCTAAAAATGGTATTTTCAAACTGCCTTTTCATTGGGAAAGTGTAATTGAATATGAAGGTGAATATTTCTAAGAATAAAATTATTTTAAACAAAAAATACAAGTATTTTTATTCACATTTCAACATACGACATTATTTATTTGGTTACCTGATATTTATATTTTTTAAATTCATATGAGACTTTAAATTATTATTTCATCACAACATATATATGAAAATATTTTATGCCTGACAGCACATTTTTATAAATTTTAAATAAAAAAAAAATAAGAAAGTAATTTAGAAATATTCAAAAAATATTTCTCTAATTTCTTAATACATTAATAAATTATTAAAATACACACACATTACAAGAAACAAAATCAAAAAGCATATTTATTACACTAGAATAAGACATTACTTTCTGTAATATAATAAATAGAAGTGTAATAAGAGAGAGATTTTAGAAAACTATTGTTAAAGATAATCGTTAGTTCTTTAGCTACTACATTTTATGGAAATAAAGAGAAATAAAATGCAAATTTTTTTTTAAAAGAAGTTTAACAAGCAATCAATACATCAGTGATAATGAATAGAAAAATATTTTAAAACTATTAAATATATAAAATCCAACTTTTAAAAAAAATAATTATAATTTTAATAATAAAGGTGAAGTGTGAAGAATTTTCTTCTAAATTGTTTTTAAAAAAAAGGTATTAGTAATTATTTTAATAGGCTATTGATTTAAAATATTTTATTTAATTGATATTAAATACGATTAAACAACAACATAATGCAATTTGTATTATTAAAATTACAATGTACGTGTTTATAAATCAGAAACAGTAGAGTTTCCCATTACGTACAGTTATAGACAAAATCCTATTGTAATTTTTTGCTACTTTGGACTTATTTTGTTCCCAAAAACAAGTTTCCCATCAATATCATAAGTTGTTAATTAGGCATTTTTTTTATTTTTTAAGGTGTCAATTTTATGCTTGACACAGAAATGTCCTTTGCCATTGAAATAAAATGACATTAAATGCTCACAACTGAATAATAAATAACAGCAAAGCAACTGTATTTGAAAAAATCCAGACAACATGTATATATCAATATATTCTATGCACAGTTTATTGGAATTTCAAAAAATTCTAAATAATCCTTTGTAGTAAATTATGTTGTAGAGAATTATAAACTAAATGAATAGCAAACTCTGTATAAAGATCACAATAAAATAAAATCAAAAATTCTTAAATTAAAATGTGAAGTTAATTTATGTAATTAAATATCTTTAATAAAAAAATATACTATTTAAATTAATATCCTCCCATAGTATAGAATTATTTTACATTAAGCATAGAAACTAATCCTGTGCAAACTATTATATATATTTACGAAAATACCACTGCATATAATATATAAATTTTTCTAAATTTATATATCATATAAATACAGTTTATTTTTTGTAATTAATTTAATTAATTAATGATATATAAAATCTGCTATTTGTTTAATTAAAAATTTCCTTGACCTGATTTAAGTTAATTTCGAGTAAAGTATTGTTAATTAGGAAACAGTTAACCGTACCGATTCTTTTATGATTGAATTAATTAATTAAGAAATTTTTACTTTACAATACTAATATGTATAATATGAAACAGTTTGCACAAGAAATTTCATTTTGTAATAAATCAATCTAATAATTAATAATGCATTTTCTCATTCTATACGTTTTAATATGTAAATAGTAATCTTTCATTTTAATTATTATCTTTTAACATATGTGAATAGATATACAGCAACCATAGATGCATTATTACTAATCATCACTACTAACAAAGTAACAAATAATCAAATGCCATGGAAATATGTTAATAATAATAATAATAAAATCATCATCTTTTATTTTATTAATTTCAGAAGTAATATTGTATTGTTAGCAGTCATGATTGTTGTATATTATTAAGTATATTAATTTCAATGGCAACGTGATTCTAGACTTAATTTTTTCCTTTAACTTTTTACAGTAAGTTTCATCACTATAAAACCAGTTTTTAGTCAGTCAAAAATCTTAAAATAATATTTATTTAATTTGTCATTTTATATATCATTCATTCATACAATATTTTAAGAAATTAATTTAAAACAAATATTTAAACTTACTTAGCAATATATGATGCTAAACATCCATACAGAGATGGAGTATACATGTTGCCCACTTCATTTGCAACCAATAAACTTGGTTTTGTTTTGACATTAAATACTTCTTTACTGAGTTCTACGAAAGCCTTTTCAACATCTTTATTAAAATATGTTTCTTCGAGCAACAAATTCCTACATAAAAAAGATATATATTTACAATGACGGGTTTAAATTAATGTATTAGAAGTCGTAAAAAACTAATACTAACTTGATATAGTTTTAAACATTAACAAAATTCTTACCTATAACTGTCTAGTCCTTTGTATTTTTCCTTCATATCTGGAGTTGGATCCCTCAAAAAATCATTAAAAACCAAACGTCCTAGTGATTTTTGAACAAGTTTACAGTACGGTGCATGAAATACAACAGCATCCAAATCATTGAGTGTGAACTGATTAATACCTACATGAAATATATAAAAAAAAGGTTATTTTTTTGTATAAGTTATAAAAATCTTGGTCTATCAAAATATTAACTTCAAAACAAAGAAAAATATGCTTTAAAATAATATAAGAAATAGTTACTTCAAAAAATAATTACTTTGAACTAACAAGTTTATATAAACTAGAATTTTTTTTAAAGAAAACATTTCACAAAATATTACCAAACTACGGAAATTAACTATATAAATTTGCCTACTTTAGGATCATTATCCAAAATTTATTTTCTTAGAGATATATGATGATAATTAGCAATATACTTAGATGTAAATGAATATTGAAGTTTATTCGAATTTAATTATAAACTATGATATTATCTTTATTATGCAACATACAAACTCTTATATCATACTACCTACAGAGTTAAATAATCTTTTGCCTTCTGCTATATACTGTACACCTTCTGCTATATACTGTACCATTTGTAAAAGAAGCTCTGAAAGCAATTTCCATTTACTTTTAATGTCTTTAATTGTATTTGTTGCTATGATTTTCACTTTACTGTTTATTGTAATATGCACTTCTCTTGTTTTAGAGAACAGATAAAAATTTGCAGGGACAAAATAAAGGCAGTAAAGAAATTGAGAAAACATTATTATGCCCTTTTTGGTCAAATTTTCACTGAACCGGAGCTAAACTAGAGCTATTAAAGACATCACAAAAAATAGCTTCAAGTACTGTTTTCACAAGTGGTATGGACACATGGACACAGGCAGAAACTTACTTTGAAGATAGCCTTCTATAAACAACTATACTAATGTAATAAACGTTTTATTAAAAATCTGGTTTATTTTCTACTTTAAAACATACATAAAAACATGTATAAGCATGTATAAAATAAATAACAATTTAAAAAATATAAAATTGATATTGTTTTAATCATATAAAACAAATATTTATTAATAATCTTATAACAAACATAATTTTTTTATAATTAACTTTATAATGTTCAAAAAATATCTTACAAGATGAATATCATATATAATTATTATTAGGAAAACTCAGTCAATGACATTAACACAGCATTTTAATAAGCAAAACACATGAATTAGCAAATTTGCAAATTTGTTAATTCATTTGTTTTGCATAATTTATTAAAATATTATGTTAATAACATCAACAGTTTTCTGAATAATTACTACTACTATTGACATATAATGCCACAATCATGAACTAATATCACATATAGCTACATGAAAAAGCAATTAAGCCAGGTAAATTTTTAAAAGGGTTCAAACGTGTTTAATCAGTTTGTAATCCGTAAATGGAGCCTAAAATAACTTTTATTTAATTAACATTTTCAGTTGACTTATATAAATTTTGCTGTTTTTAAAGCGAGATGATGTGAATTGTTGTTAAGAATCCACAATTATCACAGGCAGAATCAAATATATTCAATTTGTAAAACAATTGTGTGCAGCACAATGACAAATTTAAAAATATAGTCTTGTGACTGAAATTTAAATTGTGATATCTGATAGAATCTAATTTGGAGTCATTTTTTTTTTTTTTTATAAAAAGTGTTGTGTTACCTGACACCCCTCCAGGAATCATTATTGAATAAAACCTTTGTGATAGGTTTATTAGAGAAATTCAAGATCAATCACCAAGTTTTAACTTACTTTTAAGATATTTTGTATAGCTTCAAGTCAAAATTTTATATTCATCAGTAATGTTTATTGAAACTTAATAATAATTTTATTTTATATGTGCAAAATTGAATCTCTAATGCAACATTATGAAACACAAAAACTTCATTATAATAAAAATATAACTTTTTTTGTCATCTATGTTAAAAGTAATTTGATTTTTTTTATTGTAATTACACTGCTTAACGCTTTCAAATTTTTATTATTTATAATTAAATCCCTGCAGTTTTCAAATAATATTCATTAAGATGTTTATCTTAATGAATATTAAGATATGATGAGGGGCAGTGATATTTAACTAACCCCCTCAATAAATAATAATTTACATTTAATATAGCCAAAACTTATTACCTAATACATTTTTAGCTTTTCTGCAAAATCCATCATAGCATTTATCTAATGCATTTGCATAGCATTTTACAGATAACTGTCCATCAACACATGGATATTCTGTATTCATATCTGGTTTATAAAAGTCGTATACATGAGACATGTGAGATGCACGAAGCCCTGCAAAACAAAAGATTTCTCAATAAGATAAGATATTTTATATAGTTTTCATAATAATTATCAATATAATATATAAATTTACTACTTTATTCTTTTTAGATAAGTGGTACTCAAACTTTTTAATATTAATTTTTGTAAAATTTTCAAAAATAAACTTTGTATATTAAAGTAGTATCCCTTTTTTCTGTAAAAAATTCTTCATCCCTTATGCCAGGAGTGACAAACCTATAGCACGCATGCCGAAGTGGTATGGCAGGAGAAATGTCTGGCATGTAACGTATATTATTTTGATTTATCATCTGTCTTTTTCAATCATCCTTCCGATTTATCATCACCTGATCATCCTTTTTTCAATCAGCTTCTTTACATTTATTTGAATTAAAGTGTATTTATTTGAATCATGATATTTAAAGAAATTAAAGACTAAAACTTTGACACGCATAAACATCTTTAAAGCTAAGTATGCTAATTACATGGCATGCAGGTTCAAAAAGGTTTGCCATCCCTGCCCTATACATTTAATAAATTCATACTAACTTACAGTATTTTTTTATTTATTAGATTAAGATGCATTCTAAGATTTCATTACAGGTTTTTATAGTAAACAATTATATTTCAAATAAAAGTAAAATACAGTTGACCCCCTATAACACTTGATTATTCTGTTTTATATGAATTCCATGTTGTACAAGTCACTTAGATTTTACAAATACGTGAGCCGTTCACAGCCCGGCACACATATTTGTAAAATCTAAGTGACTCGTACAACATGGAATTCATATAAAACCGAATTATCAACAGTGTTATAGGGGGGGGGTCGACTGTAGTATACAGATATACCACTAAATGAAATCAAATTTTGAATTGTAGTCATAATTGTAATGTTAACTTGTACATTACAAGTTACATTACAATTTGTAATGTAATAATATTAATGAAATATAGAAATTGGGAAAGTTTTTAATGCTACATTATATTGAAACTAAAGATAAGAATATTGAGTATGTGTAGGAGTTGAACTCAAAAATAAACACTAATATTGCATTTCTTTGTACCTCTTAGAGAGAATCTCATTAGGAAAAGCATACCCCACAGTTTGAGAACCAGTTATAAACAATAAAATAAAATTTATTAAAATATTAGACTAAAATAATGAAAATATAAATCATAACATATACATTTATAAATAAGTATTGAATATCACCTCTTTCGAAAACAAGTGGTGCATTTGGTCCAACTAACATTGCAATGGCTCCAGCACCTCCAGTTGGACGAGCGTTACCACTGGCGTAAATGGCAATGTCTCCAGCAACTACTAATGCATAGCGACCTATATAATAAAAATTTGTTTAAAAATTACAGATAATAAAGTTAAAATATAATTTTAAAAAGTCGCGAATCTTATAATATAATCGAGACGGGTTAATAATAATAATAATGATGATAATAAGAACAGAGCCCAAATGTTTAGGAGTTAAAAGTTGAAATTTGGTATTGAGTTCGAGTATGCCATGAGAATGCACACTAAGTACAAATTTCTGGAAATTCCCAGAGGAGGAGAGGGTTAAGGATTTTCCTGAAGAACAAGACTTCTACTGTACTATTTTAGATGCATTTTTGCAAGAAATCAAACATATTTTTAGACCCATCTAAAATTTCTCTAATTATCATTGGAAGAGTGTGGTACCTAATTCTTGCACCCAGTAAAACAGGTACAATCAGCTATATAACTGTAAAGGTTATCTTACGTAAGGGTTTATCATACCGAATGACCAATCTAACACTGTTTAAAAATTCTTCATTCCTCTACTGTACACAATTTAAAGAATTTTTAAAATATATTAGATTGGACACTCTGCTTGATAAACTCTTACATAACATAACCTTTGTAAATATAAATCAAATACCATAACATAATATTATACAAGGGTCAGAAGTACAAAATAATCTAATAATCTTAATCTTTGCTGTTGTTATTTTTTTGCCGGAACAATGCCAAGCTTGTCTGCTATCTTAAAATATTTACAGCATGCATCTAATTTTATGGAACAATTTTAAATCAAAAGAAAAAACATTAAAATTTGAAATTTATAAAATTTATCACAGTTCTTTTGTATGAACATTATTACAAAATAATCCAATTTACATTTAAGATAAAGAAAAGAATGATATTAGTATCAAATTTCAGATATTATTTACAAACTATCTAACAGGATGCATTTTGCTAATAAAATTAAATATGTAAATAAAATTAATAAAAAATGTATTGCCTTTTTTAATTTTAAAGTCAATGTACTGTAAAGTGTTTATGTAAAATGTAAGCTCGCCAATGAAACCTTTGAAAACAAGGAGTTTTATTAATAAGCCATAGAACATATTCTGCAATCTGTAAATGTTGTTCTATAGACTATTCTGATAAAAATATGTCCCTGCAAACATAGGATCAGAAATACTTTCCTTCTAACCTATAGCATATTTAATAAAATGCAAGTCAGAAACCTTAATAAAGTAAATAATTTTATTTCAGTTATTACTGCACACTGTACATAATCAATTAATTAAGAAAGCTACTTCTAAATTGTAACAATTGTTCTAAATGGGTTCAAAAACAGTAATACATACATGCCTTAGCACTTAAGAAATGTGAAGTGCATGACAGTTGGCTAAGTCTTAATTATGCATCAAGAACCATTCATTCAAAACACTTTAATCGCACTTGTTATGGCAGTAATGCATTTTGGAAGAGAAAAAAATATTCACTCTTTGGACTACAAACAATATATATAGCCAATACTGACAATTAAAAAAATTTAAGATATAAAACACTGACCCGAAACAGTTTAAAATCTATTCTTTACAAAACACAGTTAACATTTTCTCACAATCCAATAAGTGCTTTTCATACATTCCTCCCCAAATTTTTCCTTTTTTCTGCAATATCCAAAGGAGGATATTGCAGAAACAAAAAATTATTTCAATTTAGCAAATATCACTAATAAAAATGTCAGTTTTACTATTTTAATAACAGTTTATTTAACCTTTCCAAATGTGATCATTGTAATAGAATCTGTATATGTATAAATTAGTTTTCTTTTGTTGTCAATAGTTATTGTTTCAACATTTATCCAAATTTTAGCACAATTGCCAGTTTATTTTGTAATGCAGTGTCACCACCTTTATGGATTATGTACTGTAAACTTTTGTACTACAGCATGACAAAGCCTATGCTATTTTATGATAAAATAAAAAGATGTTCCAAATAGCATATTGGAATGTTGACGACCCCAGATTGTATACACACACACACAACACACACAATCAAAAATTACAGCCTTCTTTCAGTAAATAGATTCTGAAAGGGAGTAAAATGATTATTAGTGCTACCATGTACTTCATGCATCAGTTTGTTTGTTCCCAGCACTGTCCAAGACAGTGTTGGGAATAAACTTATAGACAACCAGATGGTTGAGGCAGTAAAGACCTGCTNAGTATGACTTAAATAAATTAAATCATAATAATTTAAGCAAATTTCTTAAATAGGAAAAACTTTTATAATAAAGAATATATAATTATGTGATTACAAGAAGAATCAGGTCATGTCAACTTATAAAAGAAAGCATGAAAATAATCCCGGAAATCAGTCGTTGAGTTCAGTACCAAGGTCAATGGCATGAAGCCCCCAGATTGTATACACACACACACAACACACACAATCAAAAATTACAGCCTTCTTTCAGTAAATAGATTCTGAAAGGGAGTAAAATGATTATTAGTGCTACCATGTACTTCATGCATCAGTTTGTAAGTTTGTTCCCAGCACTGTCTTGGACAGTGCTGGGAACAAACTTATAGACAACCAGATGGTTGAGGCAGTAAAGACCTGATGCTATAAAGTGCAAGGTTCAAGAATTTTGATTGGCTTAGAATTTTTTCAAGAGGTGGATGATCCAGATATGTCAGATGTTGCAATTCAACAGCTGGCCATCCCATTATGGATCTGGCCAAACCCATGATGGGAAATGATTAATTAAAAGATCCTCTTAATGTCCACAGGATGAAGAGTAACAAAATGAAAATAGTTACAAATTGTTGATGCAGTTTGTGATGCAAACAAGTGCAAACAATACTAGAAAAACCAACAACCACTACCAAGAAAATTTCAATTCTATGTGAAATTAAAAACTGTAAATAACTTGATATTAAATTATCAACCTCATATACTATACTTGGAATGTAATCTATATTACGAATCAAATGTTTGTTTTATTATGTCATAGCTTCATTCACTGTTGAGTCTATAGTAAAGAAAAAAAATCTTATCTAGTGTATAATGTATAAAGTCTGAAGTTTGAAAAGTATCTATATTTATATCCTCATTGAATTATATATTTATATCCTTGTTAAATTATCTTGTTTAATTTAGGTCATCAACAATAAAGTTTACTTTAAAGTCAAATCCATCAAGGATTTTAATTAGCATATTAATTAACTATTATAATGAATAAACTATAACATTCATTATATTAAATTATAACAAATAATCTAAATAATATGTATTGTGTGTTTAACAACGGCACTTTGTTACAATTATTTTATCTTTTAAGACAATACAGATTAAAATAAAATGGGATAGAATGCTAAATTTATATGTAGATATACAGAAATTATATATTCACCTTAGTTAATTGTCAGAATAATAATTACTATATTTTATCAAGGAAAATATTTTACTTTGATTCACAAATAGATAAACAATAAAACAAATACGCCAAACAACTGCCGCATTAAATCAGGCTACTTTATCGCTATTATTTTAAATTAAATTCTAAATAATTTGGTACTAGAAGTCCGGGTAGCATAAATGGCAATGCATCCACAAGTTAAGCAGATGTTACGAGTTCAAGTCCGGACTCCAGGCTAATTCTTTTCTTCTAAAATATTCTAATTTATTTATTAAATATTAATTTAATTATATTTATTAAATTTAATAAGAGATGGCACCTAAAGCCAATCCCCAGTACCAAATTATTTAGAATTTAATTTAACTTTGGGCTTCGGTGTTTACATATAAATAAAATAAATATTTGATTTTACTCATAGAAAATGTAAATATTTTTGAATTCTCATTTCAGAAGAGATATTTAGTAAAACAACTTATCTTGTGATGTTAAAAAAACAGCCATAAGACAGTATAAAGTCAAATTTAATTTTTTATAGTGTCCATAGTCTTAAAATATTAAGTTACTCATTCTTTTAATCACGGAAAAAGCTATTATATTCATTAGATCCTTTCATTCCTCTCTTTTCCTTTTTTTTAAAATACATTGCTATCAAATTTTTCATTATACAGAAAGGCCCACCATATATGATCAATATGTTCCAAGACCTTAAGTGGAAATTTGCATAAAATGGCACCCCATTAATAAAGCATTTCCATAACCATCGTGCTTCTTCTATAAAAAAGGCAAATAAACAATATATTGATAATAAATAGCACAATACTGCAAATCATGAAAGCATTACTTTTATTTTTAAAAATTTTTTGGAAGTAGATTTAATCTACAGTCGACCCCCCTATAACACTGTAGATAATTCCGTTTTATATGAATTCCATGTTGTACGAGTGACTTAGATTTTACAAATACGTGTGCCGGGCTGCGAACAGATCACGTATTTGTAAAATCGAAGTGACTCATACAACATGGAATTCATATAAAACGGAATTATCAACAGTGTTATAGGCGGGTCGACTGTGTTTTAACTAAGTTTAAAATTTTAATTTTTTCCTCTAAAGTACGCGCTTTATGAATTTTCTCCGGCTTATTAGAACCAATTAGCATCACTACCCTTGTATTTTACAGCAACGTTTGCAAAATAATATATGAAACTAAGAGAAACACTGGTATTTTGTTACAATGCAAGAAAAACTGTAGACAAAGACTGGTGCAAATCTCAGTGTTCAGAGCAAAACAAAGAAATGAGTTGTAATAATTCTTTCTCAGAATGAAAATGAGTGACAGACCAATTCATTTCTCTATCAATCGCATTCATTCTCAACGCATTTATTTTTCCTTCAAATTGCCAATAGCATAAACCTGAAATCACATGTGGAGAATCTGTACATGGCAAAGGTCCTATTGTAATTACTTAACTGATTTCTACTAATTGATCTAACTCAAATTAATGTATAAATCATATTTATATTGGATTAAATTATTCATTTGATATATTTCAAATTAAATTTATTCTAAAAAGATCACAGTTATACATTCATATAATATCTATAATTCAATAAGAAATTAGAAGAACTATAGGCTAGTTTAAAAAATCTTGCATTTTATTTACATTTATAGATTAAAATTTTAAAATTTATAAATAATCTATTAATTATACTTTATTATCAAATGTAAATTTGACTTTAATTGTTAAATAATTAACATTATTATTTAAGTGATTACTACTCACCATCCCAAGCACTAGATTCGACCCATGAAACAGCATTAAATAAAGCAGCAGTTCCCCCATAGCATGCATTTGTCGTATCAACACCTTCTATATCAGTATTGCCACTTTCTTCAAACAGCTGCATTAAAACAGTCTTGACACTTTTTGATTTATCAATAATGGTTTCAGTTCCAACTTCTAATCTTCCTATGCTTTCGTATCCTAAACAATTCCTTTCCATAAGTCGATGTACAACTGTCAAACAGAGCGAATTGATGTCTTCCCGATCGGTACAAAAACCCATTTTGGATTGTCCTAAGCCTATGGTATATTTTCCCTTTGACACTTTATCAAAGACTTCCAATTCATTCTGATCTACGTAGAGATATGGAAAATATAGTTCCATTGCCAAAATTCCGACATTTGGAGGCCAAGGAGAATGATCATATTTCTTAAAATATAAAGACATTTCTATAAAAATAAACAAAAGAAAATATTTAAAATTAACATATACTTTCTATTGAAAAGGAAATGATAAAAAATTCATAAATAAAGTATGACTTAAATAAATTAAATCATAATAATTTAAGCAAATTTCTTAAATAGGAAAAACTTTTATAATAAAGAATATATAATTATGTGATTACAAGAAGAATCAGGTCATGTCAACTTATAAAAGAAAGCATGAAAATAATCCCGGAAATCAGTCGTCGAGTTCAGTACCAAGGTCAATGGCATGAAGCACCTAGAATAGCTAGAAGCAATATTTTTTCAAGGTTTTTGACCTATAACAGGTAGTAAAATGTGAAACTAAGGTTATTCAGAACTTAGTTATGATAATATATAAAGTATTTCCTCAAAAAACAATCTCAATAACTCACACTACCCTTATAGTAATACTTGAAAAAAATCTTTTGTTTATTCAATTATTAATTCAAATGAAAATACTGTATTAATTATGAAAAAATATCTAGTATAAGTCTTAATATTTATTTAAAATAAAATTTATAATCAAAATAATTATCCAAACTTGATTGCAATGTCTGTAAACATTAAATCAGTATAATAAAAAACAAAAATAATAAGTACAGTACTTACATTAATTAATTGAAATGTAGGTTAAAATAAAGCTAATTAAAATTCTCCTACTATTAAAATATTATATTTATTCATGATTTAAAATCAATAATCATAACATATATATATTTAACATGAATGTTTTGTAAGTTCATTATAAAAATGAAGATTTTCATTACAGACATATTGATAACGAGGTTGCGGCCAAAGTTTTCAATGCAAAAATGTGAACGTCGAATGTTCAGTGCCACCTTCCTGTAAGCATAAAAATTTGACAATGGCATTTGGAACGTTGAGCATGATTCCACTGACGTTCTAAATGCCATTGTCAAACTTCTAGGCTTACGGAAAGGCAGTGCTGAACGTCCAACATTCACGTTTTCGCATTGAAAACTTCAACCGCAACCTCACTAATTTTTATTGTAATTGAGAATTCGAAAAAAAAAAAAAATGCTTGTTTTAGTTTAATACAGGCGAAAGATGTAGGAAAAAAATGCCTGTAAAGCTACCTTAAAACATTATTCTCATCATATAACATTCAATTAATACTATTAAATGTCTTTTTTTTTAATCAATCAATGAACTTTAATTCATTAAAAATTTTACTTTAAATTCTTGTCAAAGTCCAATTTTTGTAACTTATAGATAACGAAAATTCAATAGAAAATGAATCTTTACTACTTAATTATCTGCAACACTAAATGTACTTTGCACTTTGAATCATTAACCAGCCATAGCATATGCAAGTAATTTCAATATTGTATGTCTCAAGATGTTTATAAAAAAAATGTCATTTATATTAAATTTTTTCAACAATATTTTTGTAAACAACAAACAAATTTAAAAAGAAAAACTGGCTTTTAATTATTACTATTAAAAAGATTTTATTTGCTTGTTTATTAAAGTTTTGTTTATTCTTCATATATATCTGGAATATATAGTCATAATTACAAAACAAATTTTACAAATACCATAGTTTGTTTTTAAAATTATTATATATGAATATGTCGGTTCAAAAAAATAAATATTCAATTTATCTTGAATGTATTTGTGTAATAAAGAATCACAATACCATTATTACTACCATTTATACATTAATAAAATTACTAATACTATAAATGACACAATTAAAAATCTTAATTTAATTTATATATTTAAATTGTAAATGTTTAGAAACATCAAAGTAAAAAGTTAATTTCATTGAACAGGCAATAAAAATTGCATCTGTAGTAACAATAATTATCTACAAGTCGACCCTCCTATAACACTGTTGATTATTCTGTTTTATATGAATTCCATGTTGTATGAGTCACCTAAATTTTACAAATACGTGTGCTGGACTGTGAACGGCTCACATATTTGTTAAATCTAAGTGACTCGTACAACATGGAATTCATATAAAACGGAATAATCAACAGTGTTATAGAGGGTTCGACTGTATTTACTTAAACTAGATTATTGTATCTATTTGATACAAAACTCTAATTTTTTTGTTTTGCCTGTTTAACTGAAATTATAACGACATATTTAAAATTTTGTAAGTATTCTATCATCATACGAATCTCACGAAATTTGGGTTTTATATTATCCTTACTTCTGACGACAGTTTTTAATTATCAAAACGTCCAGTTCAAAAACTTTTGAATAAATTCAGTTTGAATTAATGTTATCTGTAGAAATCTATTTATAATTTTGTCCTGTAGAATTATTTAATGTTTAAATTTTCAATGGTTTTTGTTATAAATCTATATTCATAAAAAAAATTATATCTAGGAATGAAATTTGTTTTAAAAAAAACTATGAATCTTCACATTTTAAAATTTTATCCTGAGTGCACTCAGGTATACTGTGTGTGTTTACAATACACGAATATTTCTTTTGCCAAATTTTAATTTTACTTATAAATTCCTGACAAATTATTGCTGATAGAATTCTTAATTTCTCAAAGAATTAAAAATTTATTTCCTGACATAAATATGGAATTAGATTTTGCTTGTTGTTTTCAATTTTTCACATGCAATCGTGTTAATTTTATGATTAACTAGATCATTTTTTAAAAAATTATCTAATTAAATATATTGAAATCTTAATATTCAGATATATTTAATAAATTTTTAGCTAAAACTAACTTTATGATTGTTACTTTAATTTAACTATTTGTTCTTTAATTAATAAATAACCTCCAATCATCCATTTATATAGCCTTTTATTATATATTTAAAAAGAAATTTCACATTTCTATGTATATTTATAGAATGTAAGCTCAGACATGTATAAGCATTATTTTAAAAACTCTTAATTTTTATTAGACATTGACTTATTTCCAGCATTTAATGCCAAGATAATGGCAAATAAAAATAGGATACTATTAATACATATTTATTCATTATTATTTCCATATCTATATATATAATTGAGATGGGTTGATGATAATCATAATAATAAGTGCAGAGCCCAAACAGTTAGGAGTTGAAGGTTGAAATTTGGTACACAGGGTACAGTACAACATGAGAATGTACACTAAGAAAAGATTTTTTGAAATTTTCCCGAGGGGAGAGGGACAAGATTAAGGCTTCCCATGAAGAACTCGGCTTCTATTATGCTATTTTAGATGTGGTTTTTTGCGTTTTTGATTGCGTTTTAATAGGGTATGTCACGAGAATGTACACTAAGAATGGATTTTTAGAAATTCCCCCATGACGGAGAGATTGTTAACAATGGAAGTGTTAATTTCAATGAAAATGTTAAGAGAAAGTGACGTGCAAGATTTACAGGCGCAGATGCAGTTTTTTGCATTTTTTCGGAAAATCAAACATATTTTTAGACCCATCTAAAAATTTTCTAATTAGTCTGGAAACAGGGGGACCTAATTCTTGCATTCTGTGAAAACAGGTAAGATTGGCTATAATGTAATAATCTTAATCTTTGCTATCGTTACTTTTTGCCCGAGCAACACCGAGCTTATCTGCCAGTTTTATATAAATATTAAAAATATAGATTTGTCTAGACTTAGGCACTTCCCCCATGCTGGTCTAGTACATTTAGCCTATACTTAGATCGCTACGTATCTAGATCACAAAAGAAAAGTGCAAAAATTTAAAACAAACCTTCATGTTATTCCTGAATAAAATATAATTACTTTAATTTATGTTAGATGGTCATGTCAACTTATAAAAGAAAGCATGAAAATAANTATTTAAAAAAATAATAATAATAAAACTCACTCTTTACATATGCAATTTTAAAAATTTCATTATGAAAATAAAAATATAAAGATATAAAACTCTTCACCAGATATTAGTTAGTAAAGCGTTTTACAATTAAAAAAAAAATGAAAATTGACTTACAAAAATGCAAAATTTCATAATTTGAAATACACAAATTGTGTATTTAAAATTTGTGTTTATTTGTAAATAATATTTGTTAAAATTTTAACAATTATTATTATGTAATCTATTGAGTTATGTCATCTAAGATGATGTTATATAATTATAAAAAAAAACCAAATAAACAAGTTTAATAAAAAGGTATTAAGTTAACATCTCGCTATTATCTTTATAAAAATCAAAATGTATGACCTTCAGAATGAAAAAAACATCTCTTAGGAAATGATTCCAAAGTTAATGGCACTTCTTCCCATTTATTTTTACAACTAAGTAACAAAGAAGCATATTAAACAGAATTTTATAACTTTTGATGTTATATTTTTCATTTTTTTAATTGACTACTATATATATAGATTATATTTTTCAAAATGAAACTGATTAACAATATTTTTCAGTCCTTTCTTTTGTTTTTAATTCAGCTTTCTCAGAAATTAAATTACATATTCAGAAGCCCTTTTTATCTATACCAACAAAATAACCATATCATATTTGTTAAATAGTAATTTTGAAAAATAAATATAACAACAACATTGTATTTAATTTTACTTATGTAAATTTATTTGTAAAATTTAACAGCATTTAATAACAAAGTCAATTTAGAAAAGTGCATTAACTTGGTACCGATAGATTCAATCAAAATACATTGAATTTGGCATTTAGCAAGCGCCTCGAAATAACTTATTATCTCGGCCGACAATTAAATAGCCGACATCTTAAATAATAAGTTTTTATAATTAGTTTACGAGATTACAATATATTATTCATTTAATTTTCTTTACCCATTAAATCAAAAACATCTTTAGTTTAACTCTTTTTTTTTTTTTTGTCAAGTTTTTCTGATACAACAGATCAAAACATTATCAATAAAAATTTTTAAAAACAAAAAAAAAACATTGTTCCAGTTATTATTAGTTTGTCTACATGTTAAAATAAGCAGCAATTCTTTCTGAATAGCTCGACGATGACTTCGTAAACTAGGTTATGAAGATCATATCCGGTTGCTCATTTTGATACTGAAATAAGTCAATTCTTTTATCGTACAAAAAAATCTTGTTATTAAACACTTCATTTTTCACGGTCAATTAAATTTTTTCCCCGTATTTCTAAACACATATTTTCCTCGTAGTTTTACACATAGGATATCCCTGTCTTTATATAAACATCATAATTATTAGCTTAATACAGTTACAAAAAATACAAGATAAAAATTTCTTTTTGATATTAAAAAAAAAAAAAATTTAGTATAATAGAATGATGGTTTAACTTTAAAATTTTCAATTAATAAATTTCTAAAACTGTACTTGTTATTTGTTTAACATTTACGAATACGCAAAACATATTTAAAAACTGCTAAAATTACCGATTAGTATATAAAAATATACTAAAATTAGTCTACTGATGCAAGCGCGTACGATTTAATTTACTTGCATCACGTAATACGAAGCATATTTATTTCATTATACCTAGAAAATACTAATATTTTACAAATCAATATTTAAAACTTATTTTCTTTCAAAGTTATAAGTGCACGGTAAACAAATACACAGTGCACGAACCATGTTTTGTTTAGAATTTTGTATCAAATACCAGAATTTTGTTGTTTAATAAATTAGATTAGAATTTTTAAAAAATGCATACCATTAAATACATATTTTAATAATAATATATTATATGATTTGCATTATTATACCTATCTATTTCTCATTAATTAAATCACAACAATAGATTCATCTAAATTTAATTTTAAGAATTATACATGAATTTTAATACTTTAAAACATTAATTCTCTCATAATTTTATTCCACAATTAGTCAAAGTGATTATATTTTATTACTATTTTATACAGATAAATATTAATTAAATGAATGATGAATGAAGGAGGAAAGACCACCTCCAGACAATGAAGGCAATTCATATCACTTTAGTACAATTAGATAAATAAGTACAATAAGCAAACAATACACGTGTATCAAAATTATGTATAATAAAAATGTGTGACGTCACACAGGACAATAATTAGCTGTGAAACAGATCAATAGAAGGGTTTATATACGAATAGACGATCAATAACGAACTCACCTGTAATTATAGATGTACAAAACTATATTTGAGGGTTCTACAGAAAGATGGAACTTAAAAAATACCGTACACTATATTCACACTACACAATTCACTCCTTCGAGCTAGTCCGACTTCTCCTCGCTTGGTGCGCTATGTTCGTTTTATATTGCGGACGTTCTTGTGTGACGTCACAACTGGAAGCCTGTAATTGGTTCATTTGAAATACTAAGATCAATTTCGAATGTCTCCGATGTTTTCGCTCCATTTTTCGAATCCTGTATTCATTTTATTATATTTATTCTTACTTTATGTATTAAAGAATAAGAAGATAAACAATATATAGTGTTTAATATGAATATTTTCCAAGTAATTTTTGAAAAAATGACTAAAATTATTGTGTGTAATCCGCATATGTTTGGAAATATGCCAACAATGTTATCATCTCTAGTTATGCATATAGAGGAAGTAGTTTAAGCGAAGCAAATCAATTACGTCATATGTTTAAATTGTGTAATAAATGTAAAATTACAATACTTGAAACATTGTTTTATACAACTGCGTGATTATATATACATTGATACTTAAATAAACTACCTGGCATTTAAATACACAGTTAAAAATACTAAGTATTATAGTTTTCACTTTGAAAAAATTATTTTTAGTAAAAATACAAGAAAAAAACAGTTTTAATATTTTATCATAAGTTAGAAGCAAGTGGTAATTTACTATTATTATTATTATTATTCCATTGCATATCCTCCTTTACAAGGAAGGAAAAAATGTATATTAAACTTGTCTTAACTGTATTTGTTTTCTTGACCTTGAACTCAAAATGAGGACATTTTATATATCAAGGGTAATAAGCGATAACAAGAATACATTAATGAGTGACAAAACAGAGAGATTAAATGCCACAAAAAGTCTAGTAATTGTTGTTTACCAAAACATTGGTTAACGTTTCTCGTGAACCGAAAATTGAAATACAGTCGACCCCCCTATAACACTGTTGATAATTCCGTTTTATATGAATTCCATGTTATACGAGTCACTTAGATTTTACAAATACGTGTGACGGGCTGTGAACGGTTTACGTATTAGAATTATCAACAGTGTTATAGGGGGGGTCGACTGTACATATATTGAAAACAAAAGGCAATGTCTAATTCGTTTGTAATTGGGTAACGAATATTTTTAAATTGACCAATAGCAGGCACGTAAAAGATTTAAATTAATAAAAATTTTTTGAAAAATCTGTGGACATAACAAAGGCAAAAATTCCTTTTATATAAGTATCTTCTTCTATATCCTATGCAGCATCAAGAGTAATGTACAGTACTTTTAACAGTAGAAGTATTGAATTTGTAAGTGGATTATAAATACAATATTAATTGTATTAGATGAAGTTCTTTTGTTACAGTTTCAGGCATCTTTCTAATTTATCAAAATCGATGAACGTTAGGAATGTGGATGTTCTCAACACCCGAGGCCAGAGGCGAGACCGGCGCCAAGATTTCTCACATACCTGTCAGGTGAATGCACTAAAGACATTTCTCTACCGTTAATAATTATATTTCGTTATTATTATTTTAACAATTTTGATAATTCCTACATCATTAAGCCCCAAAAATTATTTATGGTGGTTATATCTTTAACGTAACGGTAATGATGGAAAAACTTATCAGCATGGATTATTGTTGTTCTGTTTGAGAAAAGACGTGGTGGAATGTAAAGGCCCTAGGCATTCCATAATATTCTCGAATTCATTTTCATGACGTCAATTGATGTCATTAGGAGAGAGAAGATTCGATTAAACTTTGGATGGAATCATTCGGACGCTCTTCTACCTAAAATCATGTATGAGAGGTGAGTTCTTTATAATGTTCTACATTATAAATATATAAATGATAAAAAATTCAAAAGATAAATTTTTTAAATTACTGTTTAAACGTAATTTTTAATAACCGAAACATTCAATTAAATAAATAAATTTACATATTATTTTTATACACGAAAAACACCCGACATTTTTCAAGATTGGCCGAATATTTTTCTTTTTAATATTTATAGGTTACTAGCTTGATATGAACTGGTTTAACTGATTTAAATTAACCCAAAAGCTATTAAATTTTTTTTAAATTTATATTTTGATGACTATGCTGTGTTAATTTATACAGTCGACCCCCCTATAACACTGTTGATTATTCCGTTTTATATGAATTCCATGTTATACGAGTAACCTAAATAGGTGTGCCGGGCTGTGAATGGCTCACGTATTTGTAAAATCTAAGTGACTCGTACAACATGGAATTCGTATAAAACGGAATAATCAATAGTATTATAGGCGGGTCGACTGAAGGTTTTTTTTCCAATTTAAATTACAAAAATATTTCTTTTTACAGATTGAAATTCATTTGTCTTCTATGGTTAGTTTCATCGCTAAAATTTTCCATTTGCAATACAAGTACTATACATAACTTAGTCTCGGCTATTAATACGTTTTCTGTAGACGTCTACCATAAAATAACAGATAGAGAAAACCATATTTTCTCACCGTATTGTCTAGCTACTTCTTTAAGTATGATCTGGTTGGGTACAAGAGAAAAGAGCAGAGATGAATTAGACATTGTTCTTAATTACCGAAAAGCGGGATTAAGAGACGTTGATATAATCCACAGTTTCCCTTTTATCATCTCGGAACTAAATAATGATCGCAATTTAATCACTGCAAACGGAATATTTGTTAATATTCCTCATCAAATTATCCCCGATTATAAAAGAAATGTGAAGAACGTTTACAATGCAACGGCAGAAGAAATGGATTTTAATAACGATACAATCATAGACTCATTAAATCAATGGATAAGATCGATAACTAATTCAAGTATCGAAACGGTAATAACTAAAAAACCATCACAAGATACTTTAACGATTTTAATTAGCGCTGTATATTTTAAGGGAAATTGGATAAAACAATTCGATAAGAAGAAGAGTCGATTAGGTATATTTTATAATCATGGGACTGATCCTAAACAGGTTTCAATGATGTCTGATAAAAGAAAAGCTCCTTATGGTTACAATATGGAGATAGATTCTTTCATACTAGAATTAGAATTTTTAAAAGGAGTGAGTATGTATTTAGTTTTACCTAGAGAAAGAAAAGGATTTCAACAATTAGAAGCTAATCTTACTTCACAGAGAATACGAGAAATTGTACAAAATCTGTACGAAAACGAAGTTGAAGTCACTTTACCAAAGTTTAAAATTGAGAAAGAATACGAAATGAATACGTTAATACAAAAATTAGGTGCATCTAGCCTATTTGATTCATCGACTGCAAATTTTTCAGGAATGAGTGCCACTAAAGATTTATTTTTATCATCCGTATTGCATCGATCATCAATTGATGTTAATGAAGAAGGCACGGAAGGTACATCTTCTACTGCAGTCGTAGTCGAAACACTTTCACTAAAGCCAACTTTTATTGTGGATCATCCATTTTTCTTTTTTATCCATCATCATCAAACAGGTTTGATTTTATTCATGGGTAAAATATCAGAATTGTAATGAGAATTAATTAAATACAAATTAATATGACTATTTAATATAACTGACTAATTTAATTGGAGAACTTATCGTTCGTATGATATTAAGTTAACCTGTTAATTTTATTAGCTTGTTAATATTGCATGTTGTGAATGAACATTTTAGCAAAATATATTTTTATTATTGCATTGGCAGAATTGTCTTTAATAATAACATTTAATTCGATAATTTTCTAGTATTTTTCTAATTTAGCGAGTGTATAATAATGTTTGTTTCATAATAAAAGTTATATTTTTGGAGAATTTAGTTCATTTAATCTCCACACTCCATATACCCAATAGCCTATAATTTACCAATTTTCTAATAAAGGGGATTTGGATAATCAAATCAACTACATGGTGAGTTTGAAATGGTGCCCACCGGTGGCCGAGTGGATAAAACTAGAACAGTGGTAGTTGCTTCTGGGTTCACAACTCACCAACGGGCTGGCACCTGGAGTTTTCCGGGTTTTTCTCACGTTAGTAACACCTAAGTAGGGGCCAGTTTTTTATATGACTACACGGGAAGCATTTGAAAAGGCTCGAAAGATCGCCGATGTGTCGCGTTGCCGTTTACGAATAAAACCTAAATCAGTTTTAAATGAAACGGCTGTGTTGTTGTCTTTACACAGGATTGAGCCGCTTAAAACTCGTCTATCTCATACACCACATTCTCAGACACTTAGACAACAACATTAGAATAGATTTCCAATGGGTCCCGGGTTATGCGGGGGTTCTCAGCAATGAGATTGCTGACTGTTTTGTCAAACAAACTGCAAAGTCTTCAGTCACTAGTACTTTCAGTTACATTCCTACCTCGTGCATCAACAATCACGTCAAGAAGTAAATCTTCATTCTCTGGCAAGACGGCTGGGACCATGACACCAATTTTATCCCCAAGGTTGACACTACTGCGATTCTTCGCCACTTTTACCCTAGTTACACTCTCACTCAGCTACTTACTGGATACGGCAACTTTAAAGCAATACTTGCATAGAATTAACCTTGGGGACAATCCACAATGCGGTTGTGGTATTCAGGAGGAACCAAACACCGCTTCACTTAGTTTTTCGCTGCAATAGGTACAATCACATTAGGGATAATTTAATGAGAGCTGCTATTCTTGAAGGGTACAACTAGCCTTGCAACCCGCGCCAACTCATTCACACGCGTACAATGTTCCATCATCTACTCGCATTCGTATCCCTCTTGAGAGCACTCACTCCGGGGGCAAGGATGGCAATTAGCTTTTCCATTGCTTTGTTTCAACTGTCGGTATATAGCTGCCTTTCAACTTTGTATTTTAATTCTTATTTTCTGTCTTCTTTCTTCAGTCTAAGTCCTAGTTGTAAGTTAGATTAAGGACTCTTAGCTTTGGTTATGATAGGTTAGGTTAAATTAGATTAGGGTTTGTTAGCTTTAGTCGTCTGGTTAGGTTCGTCCTAGGTTATGGTAGGTTAGTTTAATTAGTGAGTAAGTTAAAATAAATAAATAAATAAATTTTTGGGGTCCTGCTCGTTTGTCTCGTCTAGTTTGTCGCTGTGTTCGTTTGTTTTCAAACTGTCGGTCTAGCTGTTAATAGTAATGAGATCATGTTAATATAGTAGTGATCACGTCTGATAACAGTCTGATAATAGTAATGAGATCACGCTCATGTTCAGTTTTATTACTATTAAGTAGATATAAGTATTTCCACTAACAGCTACTTGGCACTAACTTCTACACTTAGCTATTCGTGGCGGCACTCAATTATTGGTGTTCGCTACACTCAGGTTTTCTTTTAGACCCTTCGGGGGCAGCCTAAAAACTGCACGCCAACATCAAACATAGAGAGTACTGTAGCCTTATGTACGCCGTTCAGAGGGATCTTACCTTTCTCTACTGTCTATCTCCTCTTCCTCTTTCTTCCCCTTCCCCTCTTTTCTGCCGGCTAAACAATTTGTGTACGGCCGATGTCTTCTATGTATGTATGTGTCGTTGTCTTGCTTATAGAGCTGTATTAAAATCGCTTTACTAGGCTGTGAACCTTTTTTTTCTTTTTAATCTTTTTGCTTGTGAGCACTAAGATCTTTTTCCACATTATGATTTCGACCAGATTCTCTATCTGAAAGCTATAGCCTAAGCCCTAAGAGATGGCTTCATAAAACATGATGCTCCGACCTGGATACTTCAGAAAAGTAACACTTCTTATAAGCCTCAACCATGATTAACATAGTGAATGTTAAAAGATAAACTAAATGCTGCTAGAATTAGATTACCGATTTAATGCTTGTCATGATAATTATGGTTTTATTTATAGAAAGATTTTCGTCAACAGTAAAATATCTCTTTGTGATCAGAAGTATAGAAGTATATGCTGCAGATAGTATTTAATCATCGTGATCGAAGCTCGAATCCCTCCGTGAATCCTGTTACTCTATCTGGATCCTCTTGATTTTCATTCATCATCTTCCTCTACTCATACTGCCTAATTCGTTGTGGATCTGGTCCTTTTTAATGCGTGTAATTGAGTAAAATTAAGACCTATCCAGAGGCGTACATACATTGGGGTACTTGGAGCACATGCCTCCCTTCAATCTGGGTTGCTTCCTTATCACCAATGGGGTCCCAAATTCCATTATTAAAAATCAGCAGAAAATTCATGACTTCTAGCTTTTTCTACAAATATAAAAGAAAGTAATAAACAATATTTGTCCCATGCAACTTTGTCGTAACTCACCAAAACTTAGACTTGAAAACAAGGAATGCTCCCAATTGCAACCAGTGTCATCTTGTAAGAGCCACTGATTCGACATTAAATCATAGTTTGAAGCTTCTTGCATAATTTCCTTTTTTTATAACTTGTGCCCCCTTTTCTATAGTGTGCCTCTCGGGAAGACTTTCTATGAAGATATGAAAATTTAGGTATTAGACACGTAAAACTCCACTAGTTCAGCCAGTTGGTGAGGTGCGAACCCGCAACCAACTATCGGTATTCAGTGGTTTTAATGGTTTTATCCATTTGGCCACCAATGAGCCCTAAATAATAAGCAGGCCCAGACTTCTCTAAACCTATGAGAGATCCTGTGCAATATAATATTAAAATGTTTATTTAAAAATATACGAATTATCAATGTGTAATAAATAAAAATAATATATATACACATCCAAAGACATATAAAGAAAATAGAGAAGAGACAAGAGAATGTTTTTCATCTGAATACAATCATCTTCATTCTCGTTACAAGGAAAATATATTGAAAAAATCATTCAAAAATATAAATTATAGAAGAAAATTATTTTATTAGTGTTATTTAAACAAAAAATGTATTAATTAATCACACAAAGGACAAAACACAATTCACAATATTATAATAAGAAGAAGCAATTAAAAAAACATAAGTTAAAATATAACATGCTAAAGAACAATAACGTAAGATTAATGACGAATAATTGTAATAAGTAAAAATAACAGAAACAAACAATACAAGGAAGAAGATTGGATAAAAATGTATATAGACCGCGTATAAAAGGACAAACCCTATTTCCAATAACTCCAGTTTTAGGTAAATCTAATTTAATAAAATTAGAGCAACTGCAATTATTTTGAATTAAGATAATGAAAGTATTTGATTGTTAACATCATTCTTCCTGTATTAGCAATTTAGGTTAACCACAATCATATAGATGAATTATTCGCTGATCTATATACCTAATATAGGCATTTTTCAATTAAATTTATTATTATAAAATATCCATAAATTATAATTCCATTTGGTTTATTTAAAATAAATACCTTTAATTTCTTATTCGTGGTGTATTTATATAATAAGTATAAGTGACTTATATAAACAAATATTATTTTCGACCTTTCAATTATCTTCTTGATATTTCTGTGAATATTGTTTGGCAAATATTCAACCCAAATTCAGAAATGACTTCAGGAGATCTCTTGCATGAGGACTTATTACAATCTTTTCAAACAAGAAGCATGCTCTTCATACTTACACCCCAAAAAACTGGAAGGGAGATCAACAAGTCACCACTTAACACACACAACATGCATGATTCTTCAAGCAATGCGCCCAAAGGAACATTGAATACCGAAAAAATGTCATCTGCCTGACTTACCAAGTTCATTTGTGTACAATGAGCAACAGTAGCTGCTTTAAGTTATACATGAAAACTAATATTATGTGCGTTTTTTTAAAAAATAAAGACTTTCTAAGCCATAAATCCAACTTCTTGTATCTTCATGATGTTTCTGTACAGATTGGGACATATTTCTCTCATGCCTTATTTTTAACATGCATATAACATTTAAAACTACAATACATAGACTACATTTAACTTACTTTTGCAAAAAACTTCAAAATTTTTATTAATTACAATTCTTCTCTAAGGTTATAAAACGCAAAACAGTGTTAAAAATGTGCATTATATTTTCTAAATAATAAAATTTGACAATAAATAAATAAGTTCCTATTTATAGTCCCTAAATACCAGACCCTATATATTATTGATGCCTCAAAAATATATTTTTATAAAATTTATTTATTGTCATTCCTTTTGCATTAAAAATAAATAGGGCCTGGTATTTCATCTCATTATATAAATGTAAAATACATTGTTTATTGATACATAAACATATATTAAATTCCTATTAATATGTACACATTTATTATAAAGAAACTTCTGAAGAAACGTAGGAACAAACTACTAAATTTCTTTTAACTCTTTCCACCGTGGGCACTAATAGACCCTTTTTAGCAAGCCTATTAACTAGTATTAGTTGACCGTCCTCTCTCCCAGGAGGTCAATGATTACTTCGAACCCCTTCCTCAAAAGTCCCTTCTATCCGACCGGAGGATGGTGGCATTCGAATAGGAAAATTTCACAATACAAGGTTACCGGAGAGTACAAAATGATTTGAGAATTTTCTCTTCATTATAATAATCTCCTTGTTCGTGTTAGCACCGGGGCACAGAGCAATATCGAACAGTTGTTTAATATAGTTTGAAAGATACTGTAATAAAACTGGATAAGCCGCCATTTTCACGTCGATTTTTAAGGTTTAAAACCTATTTCTCGCCAGTAGACAATGCAAAAGGTTGGAATATGTACTGTACATATTCACATAAATTTGAATGAGTATTTGTAATACCGTCTGTAATTCGATACAATTATTTAATGATCTAATAATAATTGTAAATACGAGGAGTTACGTAACTTTCCCAGCTCTTATTTTAAAAATACCTTTTGTATTATTAACAAAAATAACTAAAGTTGTACGTGGTGCCATCTATTGTGAGACTATACATTTGTAATAATAAAATTTGACACTTTCCCTTCTTATATATACAGTATATATACGTAACAGCCGGGAAATTAAAAGGGAGTAAAGGATCAAGCAAACAAAAATTTCAGTTTGCTTGATTTTAAAAGGAACAGATAACGATTAAAAAAAAAACTCTTAATTTTCTGATTTATTTAATATACCAGCAATATACAAAAATTGCTTTATTCATTTTCTTCGGAACGTAAACGAGCATTGGCATTCGTAACACGAACAGCCAATTGTTGGGCTCGTTCCACGATGTCTTTGCGTTTCCTAGATGACACACCGTGCGCGATTTCTGCACAAAATCTCTTATTCTGCATCATCAGCATCTCCAATTCCTGTAATTATAATAATTTCCATGTAAAAAAAACCACAATAAAAACCTTACATATTTCCGTTTCATCACTTCTAAATAGGCAGAGAATTAGTACTCCCTGTATATATAATGCACATCCTTATTTTTCCATCACAAATTTGGTCAAAAAGTGTGCATTATAAAAACAAACCATGGCAATAAATTACCATAATCTAAAACAGAAATTTAAACTACAAGTTTTCAAATCTGAAAAATTTAATATGGAGATTATTTTATACAGTAAACACCCACTAACTTTGAATTCTCACAACTCAAAATTTTTAAATTAACAAGCAATTATAATAATAATGAATGTTTTCGATATCCGAAGGATTTTATGATACCGTGCATTATATTTTAATATAGTTGATAAAGTTACTATATACTATAGCCATGAAATTGTTTTACGAGAGCTCATTTCTCATAATAAATTCAGCAGTATAACTTACTAAAGCTCAATAAAACTTCCGTATATAACTGATTGTAGTTAATTACTGTATTGTATATCCATCTCACTTTCATGACATCAGAGAAAACACCGCTAACTCAAGCTAACCCCCTATTAGTCCAAATTAGCAAGCGTTTACTGTATAGTAATCAATATGAAAAAAATTTAATAATAATTTTTTTTTTCTTTAGAATATACTTACACGAACATTATGCACCAAGACTTTACGGAAACCATTAGGTAGCAGGTGCTTTGTTTTATTTGCACTTCCGTAACCAATATTAGGCATTAAGCATTGTCCCTTAAATCTCCTCCTTACTCTGTTATCGATACCCCTTGGCTTTCTCCAGTTCGGCTAGAAAAAAATTTACAAAATCGTTTAATTTAATTTATTAAAATTAAACATTTTTGATATTTTAAGGTTTTTAAATCTATATAATCAAGCCTTAGGGTGCGACTATGCAGATGCGAGCGAGCGAGAATATGTGGCGAGAAGAGGTGAGACGCTATAAATATCAAAACCTGTCAGATATGTGTGAGAACCAGAAATTCGCTCTCGCCAGCGTTATTTCTCGCTTCTCGTTTGTGTATGGTTTTCCTTTGCGAAAACTAAATCGCTCGCAACCTCTCGCTCGCTCTAACTTCGTGTCTGCATAGTCAAACCCTTAAACCAATTACGTGATTTTTTGTTTAATTTAATCTTTGCCATATCCTTTCTGACTATATTTCTATAAAGAATTATTCTTGTTAAGCATTTATGCTCAATGTTTTCATTTTATGAATTATCTTCAGGTTATATTAACCTGACAATTTACTTTTACGTCAGATTTCGAATAAACTAAATTATCCATAATTTATCCTGAAATTAATCTGACATTTAGGTTAACTTTTATTTACTTTAAATTATACTACTTAAAACTGTTTGTTGTCAGGCATAGCCATTTATTTAGGCAATATTGGAAAATGAAAATGTCAATACCATCAAAGATCCAACACATTATTTACATTTCACAAATACTCTCAATTGGTAATTAACCTCAAACAAAACAAAAGTGTAACCATCAAAATTATTTTCATTTGCCATCATTTGATTTGTCTTTGTGCATGATTTTTTTTCACTTTACAAAATGATTCTTCTTAAACTAATAATCACAAATATACAGTCATCATAACTTATATGACATACATTCAATAAAAATTTTTGCAGTAAATAGTACACTTCTGCCAATCAAAAATCTGTATTGATGCATGTAACTCAATATACGTATGTAACAATATAGTTATAACATCTTGAAGTAAATTTGAACATTTTTCTCTATTACATGAATTAAACAATAAAATAGAGAATACAAATGTAACCCTGAATGAGGTAATTGGGACCTTATCAGAGCTGTAGACCATGCCTATAAGAGTAAAGAGGTCAAAGGAACCAATGAACTTCATGAGAAATAGCCCCCGAAATCAGTTTATCTGGAATTTTACAGACCCTTTAAAAAATGGGGTAAAATTTAAAAGCAAAAAAATCCAGAACTTTTTCTCAGAACAGTGCTATAAAAAAAAAATCAACCTTTTCCTACTTTACTAGAGATGGCAAAATGTTCATAAAACACAAGAAATGCCATTGCACTGGCTACTTCTGGGACAGTCACACTGCACACTCCATTAAGGAAATGTTTAGAAATTCTAATTGGTGTTACCAGTAACTGCTGGTAATTACCAGAGCGTTTAGAAAATGCAACCTGAATAACAAATATCATTTAAAAATCACAGTTATGACATCACCAGTTGTTCGGCAGTACTTACCAAAGTAACCACAGCATCAAAGCAGTTACAGCAGTTCTACTGAATTACAAGATGGCAGACACATTGTATCAACATAAGCAAACGTAACTATGATTTTAAAAATTTTGAGGAAATAAATCATCATTTTGTTTCCATGGCACAAAGCGACCAAGAACAAAATGCCATGTCGTCCCAAAATTCAGGAGCAAAACAGCATGGTCAACGACGAGCAAATGCTATGAAACTATGCAGCCTCACCACTATCATGGTGTTACTAGTTAGAATTTCCAAATGTGCCCTAAGTCAATCACATGTTTAAAAAACAGGCTCAGTGAAAATTTTCAATGTATCTCACCGAGGATCACAATTAGATATATGGTTTCTTTGTTTGGTTGTCTAGGAATGACTAAAATTTGGAAGTACAAACTCCTTTCAGAACTGCAATTTTACCAAATAACTGATCACAAAATAGTCACTCTCGTTTACAATATAGTAGAACGTTGATTATCCAAATGTCGATCAATCGAAACATCGGTTAACCGAAAGCATTCCAATTGGACTGTGTCGTGCTGAATCGAACGTTTTTGATACTAGATTAACTTCTAAACTATAATTTTTTTTTGTTTTTATATATTTCAATATATTTATTTTGTTTGTACAAAATAAAGAAATAATTTTTAACGCTACAATAGCCACTATTATTATGATAAAAATTTTCATTCGGCTTAACATCGACAAAAATTCAACACGAACGGGACATTCCAATTTTCAGCGCTGGCTCAGTGCTGATCTCAACATTCGTTAAAATTTGTTCCTTTTTTCAACGTTGAGGTAGCGCTGACTCAACACACTCAGCACTCAACAGATATGTTGAATGCTACTTTCCAATGAATTGTGGGTAATTGGTAAGACATTTGAATGGAATCCATCTTGCTGAGAATGAAATTATGGAAACTAAGCACTTCGTACTCGAGTTGGAACGTCGTTGATGACGTCAAATTGTTGACTTCAACACTCGCGTTGAAAATTGGAATGTCCCGGAAGCGACACGCAACAGAGAAAAATTTAAACATGGGATATATTAATATACTATGTTAATAATGTATTTTTTCGTACATAATCGGTTATTTGAAAAATCGATTTTCCAAACCCGTCCCCAATTAATTTGGATAATCGACGCTCTACTGTAATTACCTACATATTAGCTAAGTAAACCAGACATTCCTATATTTCTGGAAACTGTTCCCAGTTTTCCCTGTTTTTAATATTCCACTGTACAATAAAAAAAAAAAAAAACAATAATTTTATTAGCACTCCAATACAATATCACCAATTTTTAGATCAATAAATTCATAAATTTTTTACAATAACCAAAGTTTAATCAGTTTTAGACTCCATTTTCATTGATTCTGAAATGTGTCCCATTTGGATTGTAAATGGTCAGCCTATATTAGTTTCAAGTTTTAATGCAAAATACTATCAATTATTGTTTTCTGTTCTATTCTAATCTAAATTCTACAAATTGATTCACCTTCAAATATTAATCATAATTATAAGTTTCCATTACAACTATACATATAATAATACTAATTTTCCATATTATTATAAAAAGCTCACTTTTAGCTTAACATATCGATCCGATTGGTGACGTCGAAACTTCTTCAATCTCTTTTTCACAATTTTTAATTTTTCTAATGGTCTTAAAGCCATTGCAAATGGTTTATCTACAGAAAAATAAATTATTATTTAAATTCCCATCAAAAACTTTATAAAATACCAAAATAATTAAAAAAAAAAAACATTTTCTTAAATTTAAATTCGTGTATTTTACATAGAAATATAAATAATTGTATTAAAAAATTCAATTAGTTATATCAATCCTGTCTACACATTTACCACGAGTTAATGTTATTTACAATCGTTAACATAAATAAAAACTTATTTAAGTATATTAAACTACACTTAAAACAATTTTCATTACATTATTTAGGTTTTTGATATAAATAAAATCTTACACGATTAGAGTGGATTGCAAATGTAACGACCGACCTCACTTTTCCTCCTTTCTACTAAAAGTTAAGATGGCGGAAGAATAAAGTGTTGCCAGATTATTCAGTACATTATTTGTTCAGTTGGCTATAAAAAAAAAATATTATAATTATATCATTAAGTAAGTATATGATAACATATAAAATTATAAATAATTGAAAATTGTAATAATTTAATAAAACAGAAATTAAGAAGTATTTTTATTTTATTTTTATTTTAATTATTGATTTAATATTTTTTGATGTGATATGCCTAAATGCTTACGACATAGAAAACCAAAAAAAAAAAATGATATTTATATAATACTTTAATTAATGATAATAAACTGAACTTTACTTTTATAGGATTAGCCGCTTAACTACCACCTTAACCGCTCGGCCATCCGAACGTTATGGGAATTATACTCTGTATAAAGGAAAGATGTTCGGATGTCCGAGCGATAAAACCTGAGATCCGAAAATGAATATGGGCAACTCGAAAAACTCAAGGAATTTTTTCAGGAAATGGTCTATTCCAGATACTTTTGCCCTAGGACCTTGACTTTGGCCACCTTTTTTAAAGACTCTCTCAGTGCTCACAGCAGGGCCGGCCTTCTCTATAAAGGGGCCCGGGTGCAAGAAACTATTTGGGTCCTACATTTTTTGTAAAATAAAAAAAATTACAAACACAAACATATATTAATGCATGTTTATTTAAAGCGTGATTTTGTTCTTGCTAATACATGAATTACTTCAGGAAAATTATAATTTTTGCAATTTCTTTTTTTCAATGCTTAATATAGCAATTGCATTAAGCGTTCTGCACACATGCTGGATCGAAATAATTCTTTATTAATTTTAATTTGCTGAAAGAGCGCTCAGCACTTGCTATAGTAACTGGCAACGCAAAGAAAAGTTTTAACACAGTTAATACATTTAGAAATAACTCATTATAATTATTATTTAGTATGTATTGCATATGTCTTGTGTGTTATTTACATCTCTTTCATTCAAAATCAAATCCCGTAGCAAACCAATTTCCTGGAATAGGTTTTCATCTAGGGGAGATCCTTCTACTTTGGGACGCTTTTCTTTAAACCTTTATAATTTAAGTTCAAATTGATCTTTAGCTATGACTATTGAATATTTCTATTAGTAATTGATAACATCATTAAATATGGTGCAACACTTGACCCTATGCTATTTTATTTATGAGAAAATGTCAAATAATTATTTGCAGATATTTGTCCCAAGGTACAATCATGGATTGTACCTCGGGACACCAATGTTTGTACCTTGGGACACGAACAATCCTAACATTTTTGTAAATCTTAACTTCCGCCAGATGAAAAAATAGTTTATCCAAGTCTTTTCCCTTATAACAATATTGGCTTTATCAGTTAACAAAAATGTTTCATATGCTGGAAATGCAGGTAAGTATAAAGTTTAAATGTTCTGTAGAAGCATTTTAATGATTAAAAATCAAAGATAATCTCATTTTTGTATTAAGGAAAACAATAGTCATTACAAATATAGGTCATAAACATTACTACTTACTAATTTTTTTAGAATTAATATCGCATTTCTGACAGTAATTTTCAAAAAAGGTGCAATCTTCGCGCACCCAGAATCGACAGGTAACGCATTGAATCCAGCCTTCTGTGCTCGAAGTAGTAAAATAATTTTCATCGCATCCTACA